TTTTGTGCCTTTTGGTGTGTATTGTATGTATTTGCAGATTATGTGTTCCAACAGCTGGCAATATCAGAGGTCAGTGAGACTGGTCTAGTTTTCTACTGTGTGGATGTCTCCCTTCTTGAATACTGCAGCCATGTCTGCACAATCTTCTGGTAGGTTGCCGTGCTATCTATTGTTTTTTGGAACGTAGTGTTGAGGCCAAATGCGAGTTCTACCTTTTCTTGATCATTTTGAATGGTACAATTACATCGATTGATACTTATACTCCATTCTTGAAGGTTTACCATTCTTTGTCTATTGGCATCTTATTTATAATTATTACCATGGCGTTGTCAGTTTATTTTTAACTTATGAGTTTGAATGTCCCTTTTGGTATCTTTCTCCTCTTTTACAAATGACATTTTTTATTTTATTTATGTAATTTTTTATCTGTTCCCAATTTGCTCTACTAGAGATGTGTCGCTATTGTGGGCGTTCCTTACAGTAATATGGTTTTATCGAGAAATCTACATTGACGATATCATGTTCCAAAATTCCCGGTGCATTGTCGATGATTTGATAAGGGACGGGTTGTATGTGAATACAAGATCCATCAGTTTCCGCTCTCTTGTTTGTCGTGATTTTGGACGAGGCCGTGTTCAATTGATAGGTCCTGGTGTACTTCTTTGTCTGATGCTCTGTTTGTATTTCAGTACTAGTCCAATCAAAGCCGGGCCGGTTCAAATCACCAGTAATAGTAATGTGTTTAGGTTTTCCTTTTGTTATCTTTTCCAGGGAAAGTTTCAGGGTTAATCTTTCATATTCTTATAAAGCACATAAAAATGGTGTTTTTAACATGATTGCTGACCATTCGATTTCGTAATCTGTGACGTTGGTGAATACAATTGATCTTTTTATACTCCTAAAAATACTGCGCCGCCGATAGTGCCTCTGTCATTTCGGCAGATTTTATAGTTTTCTGGAAAACTTCGGTAGTTTACCGTCACTATACGTAGGTTAACTCTGGGTGGCAATTTAAATTCATTTGAATTGGTGGAGTTTATACTTTGTGTGAGGTTTCTGCTCTTTTTACTGGTTCTGCTGTATTTACTTCATTCAATAGATTTTGGACTACTAGTGTATACCAGTTTGAAAAAAGATGACCTGAAATCACTTATCAGTTCTTGAGAGTATTGAGAACATGTTGGTTGTATAAAGTTCAAAACTGTGGTAATAAACGAGGCCACATTTATGGATTAACATTTGCAACACACCCAATGCACATTCGATCTATTAAGTAAATCATAGTCCTGACTACAGAGTTCAATACATGATATGTGAAGCCACACATTGCAGCCATTACAGGACACACTTTCGGATAGCCACGTGACAGGACTGTCCCACAAGTCGCAAGGGGTTAATAGTGATATTTCGGTTTTGGGGAGCACAACTTTGTTGGATGTCTCCTGCTATTAATAGTTTTAGTATGCATCTTAGATGTACAGTGCTGACCAGCTTGGTTTCCTTACATTACATTAATGTTGGTATGATGAATATATGCATGTTGTATATGATGGCGATTATAATTATCAAGACGAGTGCTTTCATTGTATGTTCCTTTTTCATGCTGCTGGATAAATCCACACTGACTGATATGTGCCTGTATGCTAGGATATTGATCACCTCAATCATTCAAATTCAGGACCTCCATATTTCTTTTTTTTCCTGAAATATTTCAGGTGGGTCTCATTGGGGTCTAAGCGTGACGCGGGATTGCCGATTTTTTGTAAGCGTGACACGTGAAAGTCAAATTATTGTGCCGTGAAAACGGGAAATGAAGTCTAGCGGGATACGGGAAATTACAAAAAAATGAGAATTGCTTACGTACATAGTGTAAGCGGGATACGGGAATCTGACAAAACAGTAAGCGTGATCCGGGATCAGAACCCCCCAATGAGACCCCTTTCAGGGCATCATTCGGAGCAGGAGTATACTGTTTTTTTTACCTCTGTCTGTCCGTCCGTCCCATGAACATTTCGTCGCATTTTTGTAAGGAACTACATATCAGAGTTTCCTGAAATTTGTTGAATGGCTTCTTGATGCTATACCGTGTGACGCGGTTTCAGATTTATACCTCATCAACTTCCTGTTTGCCGAATCCATACATATATTCTAAACATAATGGACATGTAGAAATTTAATTCGCATTTTCTAGGAAACGACAAATCAGAGTTTATATGGCTTCATGTCAGCATGACTTATTGTGTGACGTGTTTTCTGATTCATCCCTAATTAGCCTGTTATCTGCCGAATGCTAATATATTCTAAACATATTAATAGTCATATATGAAATTTTCGACGCATTTTCTAAGATGGTACAGATAATAGCCTAAAATATGCTATCAAGTTTCATGTCAACTTGCTTTACCATGTAATGCGTTTTCAGATACATTGTTCATCATCATCTTATTTACTGAATACCTCTATATTACATTAACACATACAGCCTGATACAGGCTATGTATTATATTGAGTTTGACGAATTTATCTTGGGAACTAGAAACAAGAACTTCTTGAAATTTTTAATCGGGCTTCATGTGAACATGCTATACCATGTAAATCGTTTTCAGATTTATTTCTCTTCAACATCTCATTCCAGACATTTCAAAGCGGGGTTTTTATAAAAGAGCAATAGCTCACAGCTCTACTTGTTCAAGACCTCCACAATTCAAATTCTGAATGTCCCGAAATTTTATTTAAGTTTTTTTTCTATGATTCTTTTAACTGAATGGTCCAATATTTAAACAAAAACGAGTCATTAACCAATCCAAACAACTCAATACTATCCCTAAGATACAATTCTATTCTTGTAACAGCATATATCTTCAGAGATGTTTATAGAGAGGAATATTTTTATTATTTTTTTTCCTCATTTTTGTTGAGTCTGCGATTAACAGCAAAAGTAGGCGAGACACTGGGTTCCGCGGAACCCTTACGAATTTTTTAAATAATTGGTTTGATGTGCTATCACTCAAAATTAAGTGTCAGTGTTTTCTTAAAGTTTTTCCCAGTTGTTTAACTCTGGGATTATATTTTGTTATAAAGCATAAAGGTGGTGATTTCCCTTTATTCTTTGCTTTGTACCGTAAAGTACTTTCTCTTGTTTTTCTCATTGTCGTCGTTATTATGGGATCAATTATCAATTTCGCCTTCAACATAACCTCGTTTCTGGAGTGTGTCTCTGAACAATTTAATTTGTGATTCTATGTCCTCTACATTATTAGATGACCGAATAAATCTTATAATTTCTCCTGTAATAAAACCTTTGAATACAGTCAGAAGATGGGTGGGATGATGACCTTTACAGGTACTGGTAGTTATCTGTTGGTTTGCGATATAATTTGATATCTAAGATTTTATTTGTAAATTTAAGAACAAAAGGCAACATGATTTGACATGATATTCGTGAGCTTGTGAAGCACTGGATAGGAAAATTAACAAAAGGAAAGAAAAAATCGTAGCACTTCTTATAAAATTCTATTATCAAGCTCTCATTGTTTGTTATTAATTTTAGAATATGTAAGAACGAATTCATGATAAATTTCAATGACTATTATATGCATTTATGATGAATTTTCTTCTAAAAAAAATTATCACATCAGTTCTATACTTGTAGTCACAAGAACAATTGTTAACTAGCTATATCGGATTTGATTTTGTATTATTACAAATATCACATTGTATTCCCCCTGTAAACTTTGTCGAACTTGCGCTATAAAAGTCTGTTAGGAACAACAACAAAACTGTTGTTACAATTAATTGTCCTGTATTATGGAATTTATTATAACTCATTACAGGGAAAGAAACGTATCTTACAGACACAACGGCCATCTCTTGTAACTGTATTCATGAGATTTGGTTTGGAGTTTATTTGTAGGGGCTTCTGTGGTCGAGTGGTCTAAGTAATCCATTGACAGTTATCACCAGCCTGTCAACGCTGAGGTTGTGAGTTCGAGGGAGGTGCGTTCTACATGTTCTGCTTCAATCTTAATTGACTAGGATTATAAAAAAGAAGATGTGGTATGATTGCCAATGAGACAACTCTCCAAAAGAGACCAATTGACACAGAAATTAACAACTATAGGTCATCGTACGGCCTTCAACAATGAGCAAAGCCCATATCGCACAGTCAGCTATAAAAGGCCCCGAAATGACAATGTAAAACAATTCAAAAGAGAAAACTAACGGCCTAATTTATGTACAAAAAATGAACGAAAAACAAATATGTAACGCATAAACAAACGACAACCACTGAATAACAGGCTCCTGACTTGGGACTTAGGATTGCCAGTTTACCTGCCTAAGGGTTGTGTTTTCTCACGGCACTCCGGCTTCCTCCACCAATAGAAACTAAAGTGGCATTAAACGCCATCAATCAACCAATTAATCAATCATTTGTATTGTTAAATTCCTTTAGGTCCTTTTTTTCTTTTCATTTTGTCCAGTAGTCTCTTTTCTTTGTATGTTAGAATCGCTGCGATATATCCTTTTGGGGCTGATGCTGCGTAAAGCAAACACCTATCACTTGTATTTCAGCACCCCATGTTTTTCTGATCTTTATATTTTAGTTTCCCAATATTCTCTATTCTTAAAATTTTAGCACCCCAAATAAAGTCCCATTATTCTATATCTTTATCCTATTATTTTCTATTCTTTTTTAATCCGTTCTGTACTCTTTGGCTATATTATAAACACCTAGACCTTTATTCATGCATATGGGAGGGCAATGCATCATTATTTGTCTAGTTATATATTAACATATTTGGAACGAAATTTACATTTTAGTCCTTTACCTTATAGATTACATAATATTTAAATCTAAAGCAGATACTATAAGGGCGATAAAAATACTTACATTTTAAAAATATTTATTCAAGCAAATCCTGACAAAACAATTTAAATTTAAATCTTGTCTATGATAAAACGGAAATGACCCATATATTTCAAATTGTATCTGAAAACTTAAGCTTCTGTGCAAAGGGAGGTAAATCAAATTTACTCTCTAAGGTACCATATCGCCATCTGATGGTGCTATATCAGCGGGTGCCCTATCAGCAGGTGAGTGATAGCCTGGGATCCTGGCTCACTGCTCGACAGTCGACGAAGTATTAGATTGGGTCAGGATGCCAGGCTAGGTGAGTGATCGATCTGGACCTTACTGGAATCGACAACTGTATATCACAGTATAAAGTTAGATAAAGTGTTTAACATAGTATATACTGACATTTGGGTTACAAAAATAAAGTACAGTTTCTATGCTACAATAACAACACAACCCATGCATTAATCAGTATCAATAGGAATTTTATTCTACAACAACCTCATATATATATATTTGCATTATTAGATTCAACAAATATTTTAACGTTTTTAACTAGTTTATTTGTTTTGATATCGCATTAATGAACGAATATGTTATTGTGATTTATATATTTATCACTGTTGTATTGATTACACTTAGGTTCGAGATAACAAAACCGAAAAATACCAGTCAACCAAGAGCATGTGTGACCTTAAAGATTATGCAAACGATTTCACTTTCCTCATAGAACTCAAATCATATTTGAAAGAATATGCAGAAACAAATGCTTCGAAAAATGTGGAAGACGGAATAAATAAGGGGATATATTCCAAATTAGTGGATGGTCGTAGCATCAGATTAGTGCTACCTCATGGTTATCATGTGCTTAGAAGTGTCTCTCTTGAAAGTGATATCAATTTTGTTGGCTTCATTGGTTTTAACAAACCATTAGAGCAAGTGTCAGAAACTCTCAGGGATAAAGTGTGGGATATTGATGGGAAACTAGTTGAGGAATTTTCTAACCATGAAGATATTATTGCGTACGTGTCTGCAGAACGATCCATAGGTGGAGAATGGGGTAACTTGGTACTTCTTAAATCATTTGATGCCATTGAAAAATGGAGGGACTGTCCAGTTCATCATACAGCTGTCAGGTATGTTAATCACTAGTAATCTATTTACCGTTGTTCAAAGTTAAAGATATAAGATAAAAGAGTTTTTATACTCTATGTACTATAAGTTAATAACATTCAAAGCTAACGTGTAATTCTTGTTTCTGCAAACCGGTTGACAAACAGTGTATACTTATTGACTGGGTATGAGTGGAATAGTAAGTTTATTGTCCCCGAGGTGCAACTATTGCCCTGAGGCGTAGTCGAGGGCAATAGTTGTATCCGAGGGGACAATAAACTTACTATTCCACGAATATCCAGTCAGTAAGTGTTTTATTATACCGAAAGAGACAACAGACAATAAATGTCGGGACTAAATCAACTATCGTAATATAAAAAGCAGAAACACAACCATACTGTTAATTAACGTTTACTTCATATATATTCTGAATGCTAAGGCTACGTACTGCACTGACGTCAACCCAAGATACAATAGGTAAAACGCGAAGTCGCAACTCCCGCGGTATTCTCAACATCCTCCAATCCCGTAGCTGCATTTGAAATTCCGCGAAATCGAAATATAATGACGCTTGCGGTCAAATAGTTTCATCGAGGTCCAATAGTTGGAAACTATTGACCGGTCAAATAGATCAACGCTTGCAATTTAAAAAAAAATAGTCAAAATATTGTGTACTTATTTTATATAGAAAATGATAACTGAGGTATAATAAATACTATTATTCTGCTACTTTTATATTATATTGTCATCAGTCTGTTGGCAACAAGTTATTATCATTTAACATCCTGGTGTCCTACTCTAAAATGCGATATATATCTTAAAGGATAGCAATTTTTTACCGGAATGCAAACGGTAGACCAGTATTCACCTACATTTTAATTGCTCCTGGCAATACCTGAATCAGGGTTGTAAGTAGACTTCATTTATTTACCATATGCTCTCCAACCCAGCATAATTACTGACAGCACATAAAAAGTCATCAAAGATATCAGGCTTAAACTTGTGTACGCCAGATACGAGTTACGTTTACATCAGTGACGCTCGAATCAAAAAAGTTAAATGGCCAAATAAAGTACGAAGTTGAAGAGCATTGTGGAGCTAAAATTTCGAAAGATTTTGCCAATACAGCTTAGACCTGTAATCTATTCCTGGGTAGGAAAATAATTTCTTTTTCGAACAATTCAAAGTTTTTTGAAGATTTGGAGAATTATTTTAAGTCTGTTTGTACCTACATTTTCAGCTGACGTAGGTATACGGTTGATTTTATTTCCATTTTGGTCTGTTTGTACCCAAGCTTCTGATTCATCTGATGTAATTTAATTCCTGTTTTGACCTGTTTGTACCCAGGTTTCTTTCTGATTCAACTGATGTAGGTATATTATTGTTTTTATTCCCATGTTGACCCATTTGTACCCAGGCTTCTGATTTAACTGACGTCTAGATATATCCTGTTTATATTTTAAAACTTTTAAGAGTAAATGACAACATAAGTGCACCAAAGTTCATGTATCACGAATAGACGAGATACCTATGATCCTATGCAATAAATAACTAAAATCAGGTCAGGTACAATCTATTTGATATAAGTAAATACTAGCTAGACAAATTATGTATAGTTCGTACTTTTAGCAATGGTAGATGTACACTATTTACACAACAGCTGGTCACCATGACTGTTAAAAGATACATAACTATGGTTACTATTGAAGAGGGCATTATCGTGAAATATATGTAGCTAAGAAGATAGTAGCATTGATAGAAACATTTAAAATTATCGAGTCGCAGGCGAGAGCATTGTATCTATTAAAATCAAGACTTCTGTTTTATTGGAAGTTTATTTATCACGATAGTGCCGTTTACTTAAGTTAAATGTGTATTTCATTGAATAAATAAAAAACGTTTAATTTTAGACAAAAAGGGACATACTAGTAAGTCAGGAGCTTATAACTTAGTGGTTGTCGTTGGTTGCTGTTTTGTCATATCTGTTTTTCGTTTATTGTTTTGTCCTAAAACAGGCCGTTAGTTTTCTCGTTTAAATTTTGTTTCACATTTTGTCACGTCTAGGCATTTTATAGCTAAATTTACGGTATGGGTTATGCTCATTGTCTAGGCAGTAGTGATTACGTTGACCTATAGTTGCTCACATCCACGTCATTTGAACTCTGGCAATCATATCATTTTCCTTATTTTTATATTACCCTAAAATCGTGAGCGGTCATTTTTATGATAATGCGAACGGGCATTATCATTATGATGATGGATGGATATTTTACTGTAGATAAAAGAATGACATGTGACCACATTTACATCAATAAACAAAATTAGAATTATACATTTTATTGTCAAGTCAAAATCATGTGTTCTTTAATGAAATTTGTACTCTTAGCAATCAAGTCTTATATTTCTTTAGATATGTATATTTCTTTTCCTCACTATAAAACTGTTCGCCAATATCTTTTTAAAGCAAGATAAATAGTTTTTGTTCCTGGTCATTCCTTGTCATTCGTTTTCCTTTGTTGTGATGAAAATTATTCAGAGAAAATACCACTTGCATTTAAGTTTGTTAAATTCTTAAATAAAAAAAGTTCAAAATACTGGACCTCGAAAACGAAGTCAATGAAGATCATTGGGTTAAATGGTTTGTTTGCATTTTTATAACGAAATCCTGGGGCAAGTGTCTTATGAAAAATAACATGTCAACCAGATGGGTGTAAGTAAGACGTAGCATACAGTTAATAATTGTATTTGTATATATCTTAAAGATAAATTAATGTTGTTTTTTTTTCCAGTGAAATTGCTCCACTCTATTACACACGGATAAGGATCCACAGAGGTCGAATTCAAAATGGCAAATTGATTGCAGACCAGACATTGTTTCTTGATTATGGAATCACGCCTACCAATAGATGTGTGCAAGTTTGGATTAAATAAAAATTCTTGATTTATCATACTCGATTTGTAGCTATACACGTCCATCTTTTCAGTTATATTGTTAATGATATCAGATTCTTTTTTTAATATAAAAATAAGAAGATGTGGTATAATTGCCAATGAGACAACTCTCCACAAGAGACCAAATGACACAGAAATTAACAACTATAGGTCACTGTACGGCCTTCAACATGAGCAAAACCCATACCGCATAGTCCGCTATAAAAGGCCCCGAAATGACAAATGTAAAACAATTCAAACGAGAAAACTAACGGCCTAAATCATGTACAAAATAATGAACGAAAAACAAATATGATACAGAAACAAACGACAACCACTGAACTACAGGCTCCTGACTTGGGACAGGCCCATACAGAATGTGGCGGGGTTAAACATGTTAGCGGGCGCCAAACCCTACCCCTAACCTGGGACAGTGGTGTAACAGTACAACATAAGAACAACCTATAAAAATCAATTGAAAAAGGCTTTAACTCATCAGATGGATACAAACAGAAATACATATAGCAAAGACAGTGGACGTGGCAGGGTACTTATACATCCCCACAACAAAAAGACACTAAATACAGATCTGGGAGTATACTCGCAGTTACTGACAGCTAGTTCAAAGCCAATAACAACTAATAAAATAATCATGCATCCAAGACTAAAATATCAATCAGTACACATCCAACATCCAATGGATTTAGTGTAAAGACGCCATTAACAGTCAGAAAAAACATGATCTTGTGCAATGCCAAGATACAGGTATCGACAGATTTTAGAGCCATGAATGTGCATATGTTTATAAAAATAATATTTAGTTTGGTTTTAATTTACTGATAACAAAATCAATAGTAATCCCAATAAAACAATATTCAAAGATCGAATTACAGTGTTGAATTGGTAACCTTTTAGAATAAGTGTATATAAAGGATCGATAAGTTTAGCCGAATCGTATCTAAATTTCCGGGCTCAGTAAACAACATCTCAGTAAAAATTAGGATGTGCTATCCCGTTTGAAATAAGTTTTCTACAGGTACAACCAAACTTCTAAACCAAATCTTTATATCTATAGAAGAATTTAGTAAAGGTTTTAAGTAATTTGTGGTAACGAAATCCCTGACTTAATAATTTACCAGTAATACATAGATACGTTCACTAAAATCCAAAACGTCACAACAGACACGGGTATAGCGAACGAGTTGTGATATATAAAGACCGTAAGTTGGTGCAAAAGGAACATCACCGTCCAAAAAAGGAAAATTAAAAATAGGGAACGAAAAATCATCCCTTTTGTCGTAAATTTTAGTGTAGAGTTTCCTATGTAAAACTGAAATATTTGAATCTAGGAAAGGACAGCTATTACGGTTTATATTTGATTTATTTAAAGTATGTTCCTTTGGGTAAATTTCGGCAGTATATTTATAAAATTCTTGATTATTTGACGAAAAAATACCATCAAGATAACGGTAAGTTTTCTTGAATTTATCAATTAAATGCAATTTAGACAGGTCATTACTGAGTTTGGTCATAAACTTTGATTCATAACAATACAATAACAAGTCTGCTATTAAAGGGGCGCAATTGGTGCCCATAGGAATACCTACAACCTGTCGATAAACTTTATTGCCGAAACGTACATAAATATTATCAAGGAGAAAATTAACAGCTTCAATCATCTCATCACACCTCTAGTAAGTATATTTAGCATATTTACCTTTCTCGTTAGAGAAGAAGGCTTTAAATGAGTTACAGCAAATATATTTGCATTTGGATTTACCAAACGACCATTTTTAAAATTAAATAGGAAAACTTTTGTTTGATAAGATTGTATGGAAGTGTAGTGTAAAGAGTTGAAAAGTCAAAATTGTCAACAGAATCAAAAGGACCATCACAAGCACGTAATTTATCTAAAACATCCAAAGAATGTTTTACACTCCAAAAATAGTTTATTCCACTATTTTCATATGTTTTATTACAAAAGTGAATGATAAGTTCTTTGATAGTAGTTAAGGAACTAGTTAAAATCACTAAAAGATTAGTTGTAGAACACTTACTAGAGGCCGAGATGAAACGATATTTTACTGGTTTTATGTGTAGTTTAGGTAACCAATATACATAGTAGGGACCTTCAAATGTTCAGAAGAGGCCTTAAGCTGTGATGTGGTTATGATATGATTGTTTAATATATGACTCTCTGTGGAGAGCACGGACTTGAATGTAGAAGAATTTAAAATTTCATTCTTAGGTACGTCCGTGTAGTATTTACGGCATACCACCACCACATTGTTGGCTGCTTTGTCGGCGGTACAAACACAAACCGCTTCGAAAGTGCTTGAAGTTTGTTTCTTATTCTAGAAATAGGCGTATTATGTACTCTTTTATTTATTTCTAAATTACATTCAAAATAATACCTTTATATCGTTTTACCTTAATGGAATACATGTGTCACATGGACATGATTGTTCCATTTGTCGTAGCCACAATCCCTGTTCTCCATTCTTCCTTTATGACATTGTCAAATTCGACTGATCATTGTTTATAAGCGACAGATGCCACTAACAGAACAAGAACCTGTTTACATTTACAGATCATTATGATTTTTCCATTTGTTGTATCCATTATCCATTTTCTCCTTTCTTCCTTAAAGTTTATGACATCGTCAAATGCTCCTTGTCATCTTTTATAAGCGACACGACAGTACCCAATAGTGGAACAAGAACCTGTTTCCCTTTACATTTTATATGATTGTTCCATTTGTCGTATCCATAATCCATGTTCTCCTTTCTTGATTTATGACGACTTTTCATTGTTTATTAGCGACAGGCGCCACAAGTGAAACAAGAACATGCTTACCTTTACATATCATATGAGTTCACCCACGATTTTTGGCTGGTTTAATGCGCTTAAACTGTAGAGATTTTTTTAATGTTTTGTTGACTGTTTGTCTTTTCATGCATTTCTCCGACATACGATTTAATTGCCCCTTTTTGGTATCTTTTCCCCTTTTTTGCAAACTACAACATTAACAGCAAATAGATATAAGAAGATGTGGTATGAGTGCCAATGAGACAACTCTCCATCCAAGTCACAATTTGTAAAAGTAAACCACTATAGGTCAAAGTACGGTCTTCATCACGGAGCCTTGGCTCACACTGAACACTATAAAGGGCACCAAAAATACTTTTTCGTCCTTGATTGATTCTTCTGGCGTTGCTGTATTAGTCCATTTAATGAGATGTCTACATAGAATTTGATATATTATTTTTTTTAACTCGAGGTTCACATGATATATGCGTGTCTCTTGTAGAAGACCGTATGTTGTCTTTGTGGTTGTCTTGTGATGTTGGGTTTCTCTGTTTTCAGAGTATCGATTTTTTTTGTCAGATATACTTGTAAGCAAGAAAAAAAAACTATATAAATCACATGACATATTATTTATAAAAAATTAACACATTGATCACGGATCACGAAAATATAAAAAAAAATAAATCTGTAGAAAAACGGATCACGATAGCGAAAATGCGCCGATCACGAAGAACGAAAATAACCCATTAGGCCCCTCTATATATTGTCGGACGTCAAGAAACAGGACAGAGAAGGTGTAAATAAGGAGAGAGGTTGTGTGAGTCAGGACAGAGAAGGTGTAAATTAGGAGAGAGATGGTGTGAGTTAGGACAGAGAAGGTGTAAATAAGGAGAGAGATGTGTGAGTCAGGACAGAGAAGGTGTAAATTATGAGAGAGATAGTGTGAGTCAGGACAGAGAAGGTGTAAATAAGGAGAGAGATGGTGTGAGTCAGCACAGAGAAAGTGTAAATAAGGAGAGAGATGGTATGAGTCAGGACAGAGAAGGTGTAAATTAGGAGAGAGATAGTGTGAGTCAGGACAGAGAAGGTGTAAATAAGGAGAGAGATGGTGTGAGTCAGGACAGAGAAGGTGTAAATTAGGAGAGAGATGGTGTGAGTCAGGACAGAGAAGGTGTAAATAAGGAGAGAGATGGTGTGAGTCAGGACAGAGAAGGTGTAAATTAGGAGAGAGATGGTGTGAGTCAGGACAGAGAAGGTGTAAATTAGGAGAGAGATGGTGTGAGTCAGGACAGAGACGGTATAAATTAGGAGAGAGATGGTGTGAGTCAGGACAGAGACGGTGTAAGTCAGGACCCGGTTGTTCATCTCTTAAATATCAAAACCCTTGGTTATTTTCTGTTGTTCATTCAGTGGTTAAATTTAACCATCTGACAAAGACGTTGTACGTCAGGACGGAAACTGTGTTAGTCAGGACAGAGACGTTGTTAGTCAGGACAGAGACAGTGTCAGACAGGACAGAGACGGTATCAGACAGGACAGAAGCAGTGTCAGACAGGACAGAGACGGTGTCAGACAGGACAGAGACGTTGTAAGTCAGGACAGAGACGGTGTCAGAAAGGACAGTGACGTTGTAAGTCAGGACAGAGACGGTGTCAGACAGGACAGAGACGTTGTAAGTCAGGACAGAGACGTTGTCAGACAGGACAGAAATTGTAATGATTAACATCCTTTGTAAATGACTGATAAAAGGTTAATGTCGGTGACAAATAGATTAGAGATTGCGAGGACAGAAAAGCAAACAAATTCAAAAAGCGACAAATAGAAACAGATGTTTAGTTGAGGGACAGAACAGAGAAGATGGAATAGAGAATGACGGGATTGGCAGAACAAGGATAATATTTCCAAACTGAACGTAGGTTAAAATGGCAGAGTAATACTGTTGAGCATATCAAATTATGCTTGCTTGAAAAACAGAACAATGATTTAGACAGGAAGCGGGAAAACAATGAATGTTTAATGTATTTTCTTTTAAATTTGTTCCGCTAATGCAGTTGAAATTTTTAGTATCCGGCTACCCTACCAGATAATAATTTTTTTTTTCAGAGAAATTTCTCCGTATTACTATTCTAAAGTAAGGTTTCACAGAGGCAGATTTGTAAACGGAAAAACGTGTACATACCTGACCGTGATTGTTCATAGATTATGGACGTACGCCTCCAAACAGATTCGTGAAGATCTGGGTATAACATGTTTTGATTGAGTATATATAAGCATGTACATTGGCGAATACATTCATACGCTTACTTAAAAATATCATTCTTCTTGATAGAATCACATGATGCTTTATATTTTCCTCATTCGACCATAAGTTAAATCACAGTTTCGTCTTCTTTTCTGTAATTCCATGGCCAATCTATACCAAACTAAATATAAATAATGGTGGGAATGTCCCTCATAATATATAATTCTCATTTCAATCTGATCGGAGGAAAACACCTGACAATTTTCATATTTCTCATACTATGAAACTATGTAGAAAATACTTAAAAGACTACTAGTATATTAATGGAAAGATCATTCAAACTGCTTTAGCAGGGATGGAAAGAAAGGAAAACTACGGATGGAAAGATAGGAAAATTAGAGATGGAAAGATAAGAAAACTTTGTATGCAATGATGTATGTATTATTTCTGCAATGTATTGCTTATTTGTGTGATGTATTGATTATTTACTGGACATGAGGTGCAGCAAAATCTAAATTGTGAAGAAATTCCATGTTAATTTTTATGCAACAAATCTTAACAAGCAGAAAAATTAAAACACATAAAAAAAAGCTTGACTACCTTGTATTCCTGAGTAATCAATACATTTGAACACATACTTTTATGATTTTTAATTACTGATGAAAAAAAAACAACCAAATTTCATATAGGATGATTGACTACAACGTAAAGAGATCTATATAATGTAAGCAATGTGTATATGAAGTAATACTTGAGAATCAATCCATATAATAGAAAAAGAAAGGATATGGGGTATCCATCCATGACACAAAATCAGTACATTCCTATTTTGTATGCTAGATGTTTAACTCATATTATGAACTGTTCGAGCTTTTTAGCTAAGATTTATATAACAATGTGGATATTTTGTTGGATTATTGAATGCATATAACATGTTATGAATACATTAAATGGAACACAGTTGCAAATAAAACTATGAAAAAATACATCATTATATTTCCGTCCTTTTTTCTTTTAATGGGAACATTTGAACAACATTATTGCTCTAAATATGGAAAAAGTTACTCTATTTTTTATTTGCTTGAAACATCATATTGAAGAGGTCTATTATTAACTGCGAAACAAAAGAACTGACAATTCGTGTAAGGTTATCATTAAAAAACAATTAAACGACTAAACATCTTAATAAAAGGTTTCTGTGGAACTTTACAAACTGTATTCTTGCTTTAGGAACTGGAGCCCACGTTAGAATTCTAGCAACATGCATAACTAAACGTATTCTTAATAAGGCTTCACCAGATGTCCAATCGTTGTTCGTTTTTCCTTTCGGAAACATATGTTAAACAATTTGTGACATTTTGTCCATGGCAAACTGCTTTGAGTATTTGTAGAAAGGAGACACACACACATACACTCACTATTCAATATATTTATTTCTTCTTCCAAAAGAAACCATTAGTTGTAGGACCGCCTCCAAAAAAGTTGTTGAACATTCCAGGTTGAACGGGGTCTATACAACATCCAAATCCATATCCGTCTCGACAACATTTACGTTCATAAAAGCAATCATCGTCTCTATGACAACGTCCATAGCAATTGGCATGTACCGCATCAAAATCGGGACACATTCCTTTTTTTGTAGAAGGATATGTAGTTGCAAAATACATTCCCCAGTCATACGGTTTTGTTGTTGTTGGTATTGGTGTTGTTGTTGCTATGGGAACTGGAACCGGAGTTGTTGTCAACGGTGGTGCATGGGTAGTTGGTATTGCTAAAAGAAAAGAAAAACAATTAGTGCTTTGCGCCATGAGCGATTGCATTTTTTTAAGCTACAATACTTAAAAGTATAATAACACTGCAAAGAAGCATATATAGAATAATAGAATAATCATGCGTCACTTTCACAATATTAAGTGTTACTGGTCCACAACTATATGACAAGAGTTAGAATATATTCAAGAGTCAGTTAAATTTATTCTTTTGGATGGTCTTCTAAACTGCATTTATCTGAGTGAGTGCATCTTTAATGTTTTCCAAAACAATTGTAATTAGAACATTAGAACATAAGTGTTGTACTGATAGTCCAGTTTACGTATCTGATTTTATTTTTTAAATAAGGGAAAAGCTGTGGGCCTGACTATCTAATGAAAAAAATAAAATATAGTAGTTAAGTCACAGCTATGGCAATCGACCAACTATAAAATCTTGTACTTGTCCAACCAGTTATAGAAAATCGTGTATTGTCCTTATCCAATAAGTAAATTAGTCAGTCTATCCTTGAACGTGTTTGTCACATTGAAGTCTTCGTTAAAAAGTTTTTTTTGAACTGATGGTGTAGGAGCCCTGTCGACAATTTCATGATAAATGTTAAAATTGCTGTGTTATTGCTTGATCCTTAAGGGCGTATTTTACAAAAATTAAGATTAACTTTATCATCATATAATAATATCTTTATTCTCATATAAACATATTTAGTTTGTGACAAAAAACAAAAACAAACATTATATTGCAAAGAAATAACAATTCTATAATAAATGAACACATGGAAAATAAATGGGGAATGTGTCCATGGGACACAGATGATGCCCCCGCTTGCATATAACGTTATAAAGGGACAAAACTCAAGAACTGTAAAAGTGACGCTACCCAAAGTTGTACTTGCTCTGAGTTTTGTGGTAATAAGCATTGTGTATACGTTTCATAACATTTAGTTGAGGCAAACTTAAGTTAGAGAACGGAAACGAAAAATTCAGCAATTTTTCCATTTGTAAAGGGACATAACTCTAGAACGGTAAAAGTGACACCACCAAAATTCGAACTTGATCTGTGTTTTGTGGTAATTAGCATTGTGCATAAGTTTCATATCATTTGGCTGATGCAAACTAAAGTTAGATTACAGAAACGAATATTCCAGCAATTTTTCCATTTGTAGAGGGGCATAACTCTAGAACGGTAAAAGTGACGCCACCAAAATTCAACCTTGATCTGTGTTTTGTGGTCATAAGCATAGTGTGTAAGTTTCATAACATTTGGTTGAGGCAAACTAAAGTTAGAGAACGGAAACCAATTTTGGGACGTACGTACGGACGTACAGACGGACAAGGGTAAAACTTGATGCCCCCTCCGCGACGGCGGGGGCATAAAAATATAGGATTTCTGCCCTCAGTTCTTATGACAGTTTTATAAAGGAGCCAATATTTTCAACATGTTACATGATGAAGGGGTTTAGCATTTCTTTTACTTTTTGTTCTTCGGTAGGTGACGTAAAATTTTGAGAAGGTAAACAATTTTGAAAATAGATTATCCCTTAGATTTTGGAAATTTTACATTCAAGGAGGAAGTGTTTTTCATCCTACAGCAAGTGGCACAGTTAACATATTCTATCCTTTCTCGGAATTTTATGAATAGCGACCTTTTTTCTATTTCTAACTTATGGTCACTAATTCTCAACTTACATTTTTCGACTTATGAGTTTGAATGTCCCCTTAATTAGTATATTTCACCTCTCCTTTAGTGTGAAGCATTTTCTTATAGAATAGTTATTGGAAGCTAAATAAAATTCTCTTTCCAAGCTAACTTTAAATAGATTTTTTATAAAGTAATAGTTTGATCATACTTTTTATTCTATTCTCAAAAATATTCTTATATTTTTTTTAAATTCATTTTTAATCAAGGGCTTTAAAGAGTACAGCTGTTTTGACAATATAAATGCTTCTTCAAGTAAAGGATTTATATTTTCAGAATTCAGTCTTGCTAGGTAAGATAGAGACTGTGATAGATGTTCAAGGGGGCTTCTTCCTAGTTCTGATAGGACTGCTATATTTGAAGCTATTTTTCTGGTGCCCAGCAAAAATTTACAAAAATTAATGTCAGCCTTTTCAAATGGAGTTTTATCAATAAACGAAATTTTATCAAAGGTTTTATAGGTCATATAGAATAAGAAACTGACTGAGATTAAACGGCTTATACAGCTACATAAACACTGAAAATACACAACAATAATAACGAACTTTCAAACTTCAATATAAACTGTAGCAACAGGTGCTCGTAGACATGATCTTAGTCTATTTTAGTGTCATTAATTATTATAATAATTCTGGTTTTCTCTCATGTTTAAATTTGACACAAATAACATATATGTTATGTAAGCCTTCTAGCACTTATGCTATAACTCAAGATGGTTATAAAATTGTTGTTTAATCCAATAAAACATACAACAGTTGAAGGAGAATAATCTGAAGTATATCGCTTATTTCAATATTGTCTGATAAGCATATTTAGAGAGTATACATTAAGAAGGAAGAAATCTTCTGATTTTTAAGGGTTCTACTAATAAAATTTCTCTGGGGGGAATCTGGATAATTTTTTGCAGTATTTTCATTGAAAAGTATGGGACTATTGTTATCTCCTGACATTTGGTCCTTTCCAAAATCAAAAATCCCCCCCCCCCAAAAAAAAAAAAAACAAAACAAAAAACAAAACAAAACAAAACAAAACAGAACAAAACAAAACAAAAATTCAAAACTAAACCTAGGGGAAAAAATAAAAAAATCCTTTCACGTGTAAATTCTAAAAATGAGCAATAACTTACGAGGATTTGTGAAAACGTGAACTCTGCCTTGATTTTGTCGGTGTTGTGGTAATGGGCCAACATGGAACACACCTGGAGGTGGTTGTTTCATCTGCCCCATTGGTCTAAATCTGTTCATGGAATTGGAGTGAAAGGATTTCACAATATTTGCTAAACAGCAAAGGACGTACGACCATATCTGAAAAAAAGTAAAATAAAATTTTTACAATACAACAATCAAAGTCTTTTTCAAGTAATGCTACAAACCAGAAAAGAGAAATAGGATAGAACGGGTATGGTGCATCCCGTTATATATAACTCACATTCCATTATTTGCATAAAAATTTCAATTCATTAAGAAACTAAGGTTTCATTTCCGTCAGGCAAATTTGAAATTAGATGTATTTTTTAGCTGTTCATTCAAGGTCTCTTTTGGATCATATAACTCCTCAAGTATACGTTTCCTTGACTTTCAAACTTTTGATTTTGAGCGTTTCTGATTGGAGAAAATCCATAAAAACGCTTTGTATGCAACAATGTATTGTAAAGTGCAATCGTTATTTACACCAGTATATGATAAATATAATGAGGCTAGGTATTTGAAAATGTGTTAGAGGAGTATTCATAGTAAAAGTACAAAAAAAATGTATACCGAGAAATGTTTAAAGGGAATAGTAAATGAGTTACGTTACATATTTCTACAGATTTGTAATATAACATTGACATGTTGAACCGAAACTGCAAATAAAATATTAACGCATTTTTATTCGTCTAACAATTAATGTTTTGTCTATCTCTATGCAGGACAAATTAAGGGCGGAACAATACGTACTCTTTCTGGGCTTTAGGTGTTTTAGGTAGTACACGATGTTTCTTTAATTAAACATCAGCAATCCAGCCCCTGGTATGATAATACCGCTTCTTTTTTGTAGTGAGGAAGTGACAGGTGTGACGGACAGTGATTGACGTTACAAGTATATTGCCTGTCAACTGATTTGTCCTTTACAGTAATATTTATGTTAATATGTCGGTCAGTGAATGAAATATAATAATTTATTTACAATAAAAAAAAGTATAAGCATAGTTCAGTTACTAGTTTAATGACAATATAAAACGCACTACTTGTAAATTTACTTTACTTATGTAATACACATTCCGAGTACAAAAAGATATGTAGTAGTTTCAAGTTTAAATCGACCCCAGTGGTCATCTTGAGCCGGACGCTAGGTGTGAGTTCTTTAGCCTTCAAGCAATTATTAAGATAGAAAAAGCAATAAACGCGTTTAATGGTAATAGCGTTGTTCCTATTTTAACTGCTGTCCCATGTATCATCCCTTCATTCCTGGCAACCCCTAAGGTTATGACAGGAACAATTTCGACCGTTATCGTGCGATTTTATTGATACACAATACCCCCCTCAATGACAATATAATGTTCATTGTACTGTCTCAAAAATGAAGGATAAATATTCTACAAAAAATTACTAACCCATTATTAACCATTGCTATTTTAAAAACACTTAAATTCACAAGGGATGACTGGGGAAAAGTAATGTTGATCATACCTTGACTTCTCCCGCTCGGAAGTTAAACTCTCGCTAATATTATGCGTCCAATTCGCTGTGCGATATGTATAAATACGCAGCCTTGTCCAGTGGATTGGAAAGATTAGAATCGATACCCTGTGTAGGGTGAATGCCACGCTACGCACGTTAAAAAAATATTGAATCAACTCTCTAAGGAGTTCGTTGACATTAGCTGTTTGCACGGCAAAATTTCTGCTCCTCTCCAACATACCTCACTGTCCAGTGGCAGTCTTTTCCGCCCTTCATCCATGTATTCATACCTTTCAGAACCTATTTTGTTTTATTAATTGTGTATTTGTTCTCGAAATTATTGCCGATGAACGTTAAACAAGCTACAACCAATTAATAAATGATTAAATTTAACGGAATCGAGAACAGAAGTCTCTATGGTCTGTCAAATTAACATTTACCAATTTAATTAAAATTCTCAGCATTGACCGTAACAATGTTTTATTGGAGTTTTGGATCAATAGATGTGAGCTTAACGTCCAGTGGCTAATATTTCATGCATATTTATAATGAGGACAAATTTACAATTAATCAAATACAGGGGCGTAGCTACCCGGAGGCATGACAGCACGTGCATCCACGTCGTTTTCATCAAAAAAAAAAAACAGAGAGAGAGAGAGGGACAAAGTTAACTTATAGGAATTAGTCTTTCTATGTATGCATTTTAAAAACTACACAAAGAATAAGAGCAAGAGGAATACACATGCAGCGAAATTTTAATCCTGTAAGACGATAAATACATACAACTGGTGTAAACATGGCGGAACTTTTTATATTAAGCACATTGTTTAGGGAAAAAAACAGCTACATAGTTGTCGGTACCACCACCATAACGTATACTCGCCTTGAGTGCAAAAAAAACAACATAAGCCCTTTAGGATTAACAAAAAAACTTGAAAATTATTATTTTCCGCTTCGCTCCAAAACACACATCTTACTAGAACGAAGACTTTAACTCGTATCGATCCGGGAATAATGACTGTTACCTTGTGAACTAGTTCAAAATTGACCAAGTATGTAGGTCTTGACAACACGAATACTTCATTTTCACAACACGTAAACGTATTCCCGTCCTGGTGTGCATGTAATATTTGCTACTGGACATTAATAACCATTCGATCAATCAATAGTTTCCGTAAACTAATAGATGAGAAGTTGGAACTGCTGTTATTATAAAGAAAGTACTCATTTTCCAGTACATGTATTACGTTTTTATTTATTTTCCAAAAAAACATCTTGTATATAGATTCGATACTTCGAAGTCGTTTCTATATGGGCCGGCTATACGAATAGTTGATTGTAAAAGCATTTAAATAAATTGTTAATTCTAACTCGTTTTACTGGACTATTTGGTCATTCAATTTTATAACGAATTTTATGTCCGAGTCGGACACTAAACTGCTGATTCTTGTTCGAAAGAAACACCAAACTTTTAATACACGTATCTTCACTGTTATCATCTAGATATTGCCATACAACTGGTCGAATGCACATGTAGTTGTTAATTAGCTGGATGATTAACAAACGCAGATCATGAAAAGATCGTGATCAAAGTACCATTCCCTCTGAAAAAGTTCATTAATTTCAACTTCGAGAATTCCTAACTGCGTAAAATTAGACATTCCTATCTCTCTCTTGCATGTAGAGTTTACCCACAGAATTTTTAAACATCTAAATCCATATGTTCAGCAAAATATTGGAGAATGTGTCCACCAAGTATTTGGTATCCAAAGATGTTTATTCTAACAGAAACTCCACATATAGTATTGTGTTTTGTTTATTGTTTTTTTTTTATTCATCTACTTTGCTCAATACAAATACTAGCATATGGGACAAATCTCCATGATTTTAAAAGCTCTCACGGCGTACAAAAAACGCAAACGACAATGTTTAGTCTTCATTCGACTCGAAGTTAAACAAATAGTTGACCAAAAAACCACAACAAAAGTGTACAATTTTTATTACGGTTGTGATTGTTTTGAAGCGCTATAAATGCGGATCTTCCGGGGGGGCTTCGCCCTCCTGCCCCCCCCCCCCCCCCCGCCCCCCCCCCCCCCCTACTAGGGCTTTGCCCTGGGCCTACTGGGGGCCTTAGGCGGCGCCCAGACCCCTCGCCCTTTAGTTTGTGATTCCACTTCATTAAGAAGGTAGCTACGCCCCTGAAATATGTATCTATAGGTTCTGTAAAATGGGACGACCAGGATGAAGGACGGGAAACTTTAGGCTGCAACTGCATGGAAAATAGGGTTTGTTTCTAGAGCGGATTTTTTGCCTTTAATTTGTTATAGCTATATAGGGTTAAATCATTATATTTTTTTTTTGGGGGGGGGGGGGGGGGGTCTTTTGGAAGTGACATAAATTTATCTTCCTACTTAAACTTTTTAAATAGATCTAATCTTAATATCTTATTCATATATTAAACTCCAAAAGGAAATGTTCCTCGTTTTTAAGAACATGACATAGATTGCATGCTAATCTTCTATAGGAATTGTAAAATATTTACACGTTTCAATTTGAAGGTTGTTGTAACATATACGTTAATTTTTTTCATTTTTTTTTTCATTTACTTTTTAGTTGCTTATAGTGCTTAATGATTTTGATTGCTTTGCATGGCTACTCTTCATTTTATGTGTGTTTATATGTTCTGCTTATACTGACATATATGAATGCTTTGATTGACTTTCGTGTATATCATATTCATTCTATGTCTATATGTGTATGTATATCTGTTTTATTTTATGTGTTATTGTTTTATATATTCGGTGAAAAGCTCACGAGCTTATGTTTGTATGTTTTAAACCATGCCGAATCAAAATAAAGTTTTCTTATCTTATCTCGGTGAAACACATTCTGATAATAAAATCGTGGTACATTAAGTTAAATTCTTTATCTGGACCAACTTTTATATTTTTGTATAAAAATAACTTACTTTTTATCATAACTGTTTTAATTTGTTTACAATTATGATTCTAGTTTCAATCCGAAATTTTACATTCGAACATCTTAATTTAGAAGAATCTTAATGTAGAAAGTGATGGGTTTATTTCTGATAGACTTTGGAATTTCTTTTTCATTTCATCTATAATAATAAAGCGGTTCTTACGAGTCGTACTGTTTAAAAGCATGTTTGATCTCAATGTTTTAAGACATTAGTCACTTCCAGAAGAAAGGACAATTATAATATCGAGTCTCGGAAATTGAAGAGCAAAAAAAAATCGTATTCAATGAAATTTACATCGATTTTTTATTTATTTTTTTATTTTCCATTAACAACTATTGGAGGACCAAATTTGTTTGAATCCATAGTTATAAAACTTAATTTCAAAATCATAAAAATATCACAATAAAGTCTGAATCTTTTTTTTACTAACAACTTACCACAAATTTAACATCCATGACTGACCCTCCACACACCGGTATGTTGTGAACAGATGATTTATTTTTTATCAACCGTTGATATATTCACCAACCTTGCAAAAGATGACAACTGACAATAAAACAATATAACATGTAGTGTTATGCCATATGCTGTGAAGTGAGGAACAGACAGGATCAAACAGATGTTTTCTTCATACATGACCTCTCATTTTCCGACAATGGGAGTAACCTTAGGCAATTTATAAATAATAAATATAATGATTTCCAATGTTCTTATCACCAGGGCTGACTTACGGGGAAAAAAATCTTCAAAGAATAAAAAAAACCCAGAAAAATTCAGAGAATAAGCCATTTTAGAGTAATATACATGCAATAAAATGAGATATTGGGTAACTTTCAATTTAAAACAGCAACTCAACAAATTTTGCATTTGAAATGTGTTCTTGTCTTTTCCATACAATATTACAATAAAAGAGGTTTATATATGCAGTCAATCTATTCTTTTTTTCCACATGGCAAAAATTACAACAGTGTATGAGTGCCAAAGCAAAATACCAGGCATAAAATTTTAACAACAATAGTAAAGTCATAGAATTTACAATGCGTACAAGAAGGACAAAAGGACACTGCTAAAACTTATTTGCTTTGTTATCGACATTATATTTTCAAAATAAAGATTTGTATGTGTATAAGCATAAGCTTTAAAAATATCAAACTGATACTAAACTATCCAAAAAAATCGTAGTTATAATGTTCATTTTTTCAGAAAACTGTAACCCTTTGCTCTCCATAACTAGTAAATATGTTTGCATGTTGCCATAAATGAGTGTATACATGATTTAACAGTTTTCGAGTCTTTATAAATCAAATAATATCTGCGTTAGCGGGTTACTCGTAGTATGGTGATAAGGGAGTGAGTTACATGAAAAAGGTGCCTGGAAATCGTAAGTTTCAACTATGTCAATGTAATGTTGTCCTTGTCAGGATTAATTATGGTATGGTGTACACCAAGTTAGATTATTGTACTTGAAGTTTAATTGGACAATTGGCGAGTTTACCTTCGGTTGGATGCTGTCACATAACTTCATACAGAGTTCATTCCTTTACCAAGTTCGTGTGCACAATTTGGACATTGATCCTTAATTAGACAAAAATTGTAAAGATAAAAACATTTTTGTGTCTGTGTGCAAACATTGCCTTATTTATTCACATCATTACTTATGGCACCATAAATTCCCGGATGCACATTGATTAATCCAAGAATAAATTGGACGTCAACTGAACGTCATTATTTCTAGACCGAATGAAATATGGGTGAAGTGATCTTCTTGGAACATTATCTTTCTCGAGATGCTTCTTTGTGCCAAGTTATATTTCAAACTGGTACTGGATGCAGATGTTTGGGTACTCCAAAATACCTGATACTATACACCTTATAAGCGAAAAATAAACTGAAGTAAAAACTCAACCAAATTTCTAATTCTGTACTCTGTCTGTTTCTCCCAACTTTAACGTTTTTCAAATATAGTCAATATACGTATGTCTAAGACCGCGAATATATATACGTGAAAGAAAATTTGGTCAGTAAACCTATATGTTGCTATTATTCAATTTTCATGTGCGCCATTCTGTTTAATGTTATTTTTAATATGAAGATTAATTTGAGAGAACATTGTTGAAGTACATGCAAATTAATGTTTTCTGTAATCGTAATGGTTATATATGTCTAAGTAAATAACGAAGACAGTATATTTTTGTAAGTCAAGTGTAAAATGAAAAATCTTGCATCATTACATATTTTCTTCTTTTTTATACGACTGGACAGTATTTGCAGTGAAAATGGATTTTCTTAACCAGTTTATACAAGCAAATAAAGTTTGTTAAAAGTCGGCACAAATATTTCCCACACGACCGCTAATACTATGAATGATACTTGGTGGTGATAAATGCTCCATTGGACAAAAACAAGAGGCTCCCAAGAGTCTCACTTGGTAAAAATATCAGGCAAAAACTCCTATAAGGGGTCAGTTGACCATTTTGGCCTTGTTGCATTTGATGTTAATCTTATTGTGCTAAAAATGTTTGTAATTTACAGATTCTCTCTATCTCTAATAATTCCTTTGGAAGATGCCAAAAAATTGAAGAAAAAAATCCTTAAAGGGAATTAACACATAAAAGCTGTCAATTAACGATTTCAATGAGGTTGACTCATAAGTATATAAACAAACTCATCATTGACACCAGAATTAATCAGATCTTATTGTACTGGTAATTTTACCATTTCAGTGTCTATAACAGTTTTCAAGATAATAACCAAAAGCTGAAATTTGCCAAAACAAAAGACATTTCAGGGGCAACTACTCAAAATTGGGTTTTACTGAAAATTTTATGGTAAATATAACTTGACCTGCTAATTATTGTTATCTCCATGTCAGTTTTGCTCTAACTGCTTTAGTTTTAGAGATATAAGCCAAAATATGCAATTCCCCCTATGTTCCATTTTTAGAAACAGCAGCCATATAAAAATAAGAAGATATGGTATAATTGCCAATGAGACAACTCTCCACAAGAGACCAAATGACATAGAAGTTAACAGATATAGGTCAACGTACGGTCTTCAAAAATGAGCAAAACCTATACCGCCTAGTCAGCTATAAAAGGCAAATGACAAATGTAAAACAATTCAAATGAGAAAACTAACAGCCTGATTTATGTACAAAGCAATGATAGAAAAACAAATATGATATACAGCAACAAACTACAACCACTGAATTACAGGCTCCTGACTTGGGACAGGCACAAACAGAATGTGGCGGGGGGGGGGGGGGGGGGGGAGGGGGGTAAACTAATTTGAAGGTGTCAACCCTCCCCCTAACCTGGGACAGTCGTGTAACAGTACAACATAAGAAAAGGCTTAACTCATCAGATTGATACAAAGCAGAAATACATATAAAAAAATACAGACTGGGCTTGGCAGGGTACTTTACATCCCCACAACAAAAAAGACACTAAGTACAGATCTGAGAGTACTCACAGTTACTGACAGCTAGTTCAAAGCCAGTAACAACTAATAAAAAAATCATGCATCTAAAACTAAAATATCAACCAGTGCACATCCAACATCCAATGGATTTAGTGTATAGACATCATTGACAATCAGAGAAAAACATGACCTTGTGCAATGCCAAGATACAGGTATCGACAGTTTTTAGAGCCATGGATGTGCATATGTATCATGTATCTTTTGTGTTTGTATTGCATAATATATTATTTTTAAAAGTATAATCAGAATAAATGGGGAATGTGTCCATGGGACACAGATGATGCCCCCGCTTACATATAATGTTATAAAGGGACATAACTCAAGAACGATACAAGTGACGCTACCCAAATGCATTCTTGATCTGAGTTTTGTGGTAATAAGCATTGTGTATAAGTTTCATTAGTTGGTTGAGGTTAACTTAAGTTCGAGGACAGAAACGAAAAAATCAACAATTTTTCCATTTGTAAAGGGGCATAACTCTAGAACGGTACAAGTGATGCCACCAAAATTCAAACTTGATCTGTGTTTTGTGGTAATAAGCATTGTGTATAAGAGTCATAACATTTGGTTGAGGCAAACTTTAGAGAACGGAAACGAAAAATTCAGCAATTTTTCCATTTGTATAGGGGCATAACTCTTGAAAAGTAAAAGTGATGCCACTCAAATTCAAACTTGATTTGTGTTTTGTGGTAATAAGCATTGTGTATAGTTTGATAACATTTGGTTGAGGCATACTAAAGTTAGAGAACGGAAACCAATTTCGGGACATACGGACATACAGACGGACAAGGGTAAAACTTAATAACCCCTCTGCTACGGCGGGGGCTTAAAAATTGTTTATCTACTGCATATTGTAAATAAAATAGCTTGACATATGAAAAAATTTCATTTTAGTTCATTTTTTTAAGCTAGCGTTCAAACCATCTCCACACATTTATTAGTCGTCTGTTGCTGATTTGTTGCAAGATTTCGAAACCAATTCATCATACCATATTTTTTACAGAGACAGTCAATTAATTCCATCCTCTATCCCACTCAACTAACTTTCTAGAACATACTTTTTAATGTATTGTTTAATTTGATATCGTCTTAATTATACATTTGTAACTGGACATACAGCATACAACAATTTCAAGGTTGACTTTTTCAATAGTTGTTGATCCTTCCAAGTAAATATGTGGTGTTTAAAGACAGAGCTAGTGGTCATTACAAACAAATTTCAGTGGTTGCATAAAGTAAGTAGTCCCTTAATACAGTTTAAACATAAATGGGAAATCTATTGAGGGGCTTTAAAAAGAGGTTGCATACAGCAGTTCATCACTAAATGCAGGTGGTTAAACTGGTTTGACTGTAATAAAAACAAAATATAACAAAACAACTGTTTTATTTTCCATAAAAAATTATTTCAAAAATTACATAAAGTGTTAAATCTACCAAACAAATATTTGTTTGGCAATAATATCTATGTATACTACCATAATTTTTACCAGCTTAATTTTTAATCTTACCGCTTACTATAAATACAAATCCTTGCTTCCCAGCGACAACAAAAAATATGAAATATGAAGTACTGTAGAAAATAAGTTATCATACAAAAACATACATTTTTGGTGCTTTTATTGTTACAGGCAAAGACTTGGGATGTTTAAAGCAGGACATATATGGTTTAGGAACTTGTTCATTTTTGAAAAATGGTTGTTGCCCTCATAATGTCTTTTCTATTTTTATTGTGTTTAGGGTTGCTGTCTTATTGACCTATAACCCTCCTCTCCATAATTCCAACACATTGGGTGACAATACATTAAAGTCTGTATTTCATTGCATGCATTTGCTATTTTTTTTATTAATAGTAGAAAATAATACAAGTATGATTTCCATAGGCCCATGAAATAAAAATGTTCTCCCTCACATTATCTAATCAATTCATATAATCAGAATAAATGGGGAATGTGTCCATGGGACAGTCCGACACAGATGATGCCCCCGCTTACATATAACATTATAATGGGACATAACTCAAGAATGGTAAAAGTGACGCTACCCAAATTCGTACTTGATCTGAGTTTTGTGGTAATAAGCATTGTGTATAAGTTTATAACATTTGGTTGAGGCAAACTAAAGTTAGTGAACAGAAACCAATTTTGAGGTGTACGGGCGGACAGACGGATGTACAGACGGACAAGGATAAAACTTAATGCCCCCTCCGCTACAGCGTGGACATAAAAAAACGTCAGAAGATACCAAAGAGAGAATCAAAACTCATAAGTCGAAGAGAAATCGATAAAATCATGACACAAGACGAGAAAAAGACTAAGAACAGTCTACAAAACATTACATTTGTAACATATAACAAGTTTTCTCTCAAAATTTTCTGTTTAGTGTGAAATCAGAATAAATATATTTGCAGAATTTAATGCATTTTATAAACTGCAACTGAGTAATGCTTAAAACATTTGTGTGTTGACAGAATCTAACAGACATATATTAAGACATACATATGTATATAGACATTTGTTTAACCATACTACAATTATCACAACACATTATATACTACTAATAATAGAACATAATAAAACTCAATAATATAAAGTAAATTAGTCTACTTCATTTTATTTTTCATTTTCATTCCAGTCTACCTTCATTCAAGTGTAGACAACCATATTTTTCCAATGTGTCCCATTTCAATAAATGTATGACTGTAACCTAATTATTTTTTCACACTTATTTCAGTTTGCTGACATTGTGGCAATTTATTCTTGCTTTGTTGATTTATTTTTATATGAGAAGATTTATATTTATGTAAATAAATTGATCTTGAGAATCGATTAATTACATAATTGACTAGTACACGAGCCCACATTATGTTATGGATGTAAAATGATTAACGATATCAAGTGATGACAAAATATTGAATGCCTTTTATGAAGCATATCATTAAAAATATTTCATTCAGGTTGTATTTGAATTGCCATAAAGTTATAACATACATTTTATCATTAATACTTTGTTTCACTGTCAGGATGACATCATCAAAACTGAGAGCAATGCAGTCATATCTTCAGATACTAAACAACACATATTACGCTAAAAATGACTGATTTTCTGTATGCTAATAGTGTAACAGAATCAATCATAATGATTAAAAAAAATTCTCTGATTGACAGAGTTCTATATTTGTTTTAAATGTTTGCTCTGTTACAACTATCACAGATAGATGTAAAAAAATCTTCCTGTTACACACCAGACAACTATCTGGTTCCTGCAGGAAGTCAAATCTATCCACATCATTCAGGCTAGGGTTGGCTCACTGTGTTGGTAACTGTTCTACTGGTGTGTGGAACTTATAGTCGGCAGGGAATAAGTCATGTGCTCTGGGATACATCTGTTTGTAGGCCTGTCTGATTGTTACCTCTGCTACACCAGCAATGTCACCAATCTCTGTAATATAAATCACCAATTAGTTGTTGTTTTAATTCTGGCACTAATTTTGAAAGTCAACAACAATACCTTCATGGAAGCATATTGAAAAAAAAAATAAAAATCAATTTAAAGCATGTAAGTGTCAGAGCTTGAATAAACTAGTTCCCAGTTGGATTAAGATACGCCTTAAATCCTTGACTAGAACGACCAGGTTAAATAAGGATATGACCATGGGGTGGTTTCATGACTGAGACCACATTTAATTTAAATTATCCTGCAACATCAAATAAATAAATGAGAATGTTGTACTACACTTGCCAATAAGACTTTATGGATAGTTGTCTTATTGATTAGCATAAAAACATTTAGATCAATAAATGGGGAATGTGTCCATGGGACACAGATGATGCCCCCGCTTGCATATAACTTTATAAAGGAACATAACTCAAGAACTGTAAAAGTGATGCTACCCAAATTTGTACTTGATCTGAGTTTTGTAGTAATAAGCATTGTTTATAAGTTTCATAACATTTAGTTGAGGCAAACTTAAGTTAGAGAATGGAAACCAATTTTGGGACGTACATACATGTATGTACGTACATACAGACGGACAAGGGTAAAACTTAATGCCCCCTCGCTACGGTGGGGGCATAATTAAGAAATTTTCTATGAGTATTTTGATAATTCAGCTTATTCACACTGCAACCTTCATTGTAATATCAGAAACTTTCTGTAGAATTTATTGTAAACTTTGTTCATGTAGTGATTTCAATTCCTTGCAAGACACAGGTTAACCAATATGTTTTTCCTTTTCATTACTAAAATTACAAATTCAGAGATAGTGTTATTTATTCATTAATTTTAGGGCAATGTAGGATCGTATCTCTTCATGCATTCCTCTACCGGTAGCTGTTTCTTTTTAAGTAGAATGTATAATCAAATGGTTAGAAAAGTCATATTTCCCTCTGGCAATGCACTCGTGAAATATGAATTTTCTTGGGTGAACAAATCTTCATATCTCCCAATGGCAAGGGAAATAAATGTATAATATTTAACCAAAACTTCCTCCTTTGGAAGGAGAAAGAACTTTCAAAATAAAATGGGAGATAACTTTGCTTATCAAATCAAGATATGTCTCCTCTTGATGGGCTTTAGGTAAAGCTCTTGTTTATATCTATATAATAATGACAAGAGCCCAAAATGAGGCTATTTTGGCAGTAATTTCAGTTTTGCAATAAATGCAAGAAGGCTGAAGTTCTAATGCAAATATGTAAGACAAAATTCAAAAATACGAATACTGAGATCTGGACAGACTAATGTCTTATGAACATCTGAAGGATGTTATTTAGTAGATTTATACTTTTTGATTTTAAAGTTCAAGGAGCAAAAACGTAGCCTTACCATATATTTTCCTTTGCAATTAGGATATAATTAAAATTGAATATTTAGGTAAAAGTGCAATATAAAGTATACCTATTTCAAATATGACTAGATGCAATTAAAAAAACAATCACTCTCGTTACCTTTTTGGTTCTTTTTGTCTGCTGAGGCCTGAGAAGCCATATAAATAGCTGATGCAGCAACAGAGATAGGACTCCTCCTACAAAACAAAATCAGCAATATGTACATCATCATTATACCAACAGCTATGAGTATCATTAAGTCCAAAGTCATTTAATATGATATAATAACAGATATTGTGATTAACTTGCCATTGAATGTTAATTTCTCCATAGAACTATATGCCAGTGTTCCAGTTCACCTAAAGCAAAAATTATTGCAGGTATTCTGTGAACAGATTATAATTCAATCTAAGTGCATGTCAACATAACATATTAATTGAGGGGAGATAATCTGAAACATGTTCCTAGCTTCTGACCCATACTCTGGTATTCAAAATTTGTAAAATGAAAACTCATTTAAAACAATTTTGATGTCTGTTCTGCACTGGAAAATGTAAAAAAAAAAGCTATAATTGTCATAATTTTGTAGTGGTAACACCTTAAATATCTGATCTGTTCTGTATGCATAAATAATAATTTTAAACTAATTTAAAAAGGCAATATGTCGATGCAATAATTTGACTGAGAGTTAAATAGGATCTGTGTTACTCAGTAAAACAAGGAAGGTTAAAAGCTGTCCTGGTTATTTCTATATTGTCTAATTCTATGTACATTGTTTTAGCTACATACTCGTGCCAAATATAAATAATGCAAACATAATCTAAGTTTGCTGACAACCCATCATGCTCAATGGACCCCAGATTGTTTTATATAAATATTCACAAATATTATCATTGCAATGCATACATAATTCAAAATCATTAAAATTCCTATGTATAAATAATCATAAATACAACAAACCAAACCAACTTTGACTAAATACACCCCTTCATAGACGGTCATTGCCGGCCAGGATCAACTAGAGATAAAAACGATATAATCGATCAAAAAGATCTAGAAACCTGTGTCAATCGTTGCCATGTGCGCAATTCAGTCTCCAGGGTCAGGTGCTCATACCTACACCTAAAAATGTGTGTATTGGCAAATCAAAATTTAATCATAAATTATAGTATCTTATAAACATTCAAAATATAAATTGAGTGTTAAATTGTTGCAGCACAGCTAAAAAGTTACCCTATGCTTTATTACTAGAAAGTACATCCATTAGTTACTATAGGTGACCCTATTAGATATTCATACGACCTGTACCCGTCAATACAATATTTTCTCGCTATACTTAAAACAAAATGCATGAAAATAAGATTAACCTGCAACTAGATCCAATTCAAAAGCATACCTAGCTATAGTTTGTAATTTTATGTTGAATAATTCTACCTACCCTGCGACTAGATCCATTTCTACAGCTTTCCTAGCTATATGTGTGGCTGCTTTCTGTACTGATGTTGGTAGACCCAAATTGGAACAGAATCGGGACTGAAATAAATAAAACATTGCTTGCTTTTAACATTGATAAGCAATATATCTTTTCTGAATCAGAAACAATATTAAATGCTTAGTTCAGTTACTTACCCGGTACAATGAATTTCATATACTTAAATACTTCATGAAAAGAAATCAAAGTGCAAGCACTAACAGGATAAAAATTGATTTTATTGTGCATTGTGAACTTAAAATTAAACATTGCATTGTATTAGAATATTTAAAATTAATCAAACATGACAATTTTTTTAATATTTGTCCATAACAGAACAGGTAGATTCATGCACCATTCACATCTGTTTTTTTTTTATAAAATGGTAATACACATACACATCATTTTGTAAATTGAGCATCTGTTTTTGCTTGGCATGAATATGACCTAAAAAAGAATTCACCACACTACACTTTGTACTGTGAATGCCAAAAAAAAAACAAGAACATTGCTGAACATGGCTAACACAGTGACTTGTCACAAGAATATAAGTTATGCTGCACAACCGTAAACATGAGACATCTACAATCCTTCTTATTTCATACAAAAGCAACCATTTAAGATCTGATCAAATCTTACCATAAAATCTCCTGTAGTAATCAGCTCTACATTTGTCTCTAGATTCTTCAGGATCAGTTTAAACACTCTACCAATCTCTTTCTTAGATATTTTGGACACAGCACATATTTCTGCAAATTGTAAATAAAATAAAACCGTTATATATTTCAGTAAAAATTCAATTCACAACAGCTTTAAAGTATTCTGTTGCATAATTGTATCCTAAAGCAAAAGAAGCAAGTTCATGCACCAACATGTGTAAGGAAAAATATTGAACACTGCATTGATAATGCTTTTCAAAGAGCAAAGTACCTAAGTGTTAAATAAAGAATCTTATATGATGATTTATCTTGTTTTAGGTTGAAAGTTAACATTATTTGGTGTGGTTTAAATTTTTAAAAAGAAATACTGTAAAAGCAGAAATTTTCGTGGAGGACTTAATTTTTTTTATTTCGTGGAAAGAATATATCCACGAAATTAAAACCCCCACGAAAATTTCACCTTCATAAAATATCACTTCCATTTAATGGAAACCACGAAATTAAATCCCCATGAAATTTTATATAGAGACAAAACCACGAAATTTTAACCCCACGAAAATTAATGTTTCTACAGTAATCTGAAATTAGATAGTTGAAGAAATCATTATTCTTATCAACTACATGTAAGTGAATGATTGTAAAATTTGCTATGAACAAATATTTTGTTGCTATTACCTATGAATGTCCCAAGAACACTTTCTTGTTGACAAGCTATGTACATACAGGCTATCTAACTATGAATGTCCAAAGAACACTTTCTCGTTGACAAGCAATGAACATACACAATATTTACCTTTGAATGTCCTAGGAACACCTTCTTGTCTACAAGCTATATACATACAAGCAGCTGCTATTGCATCATTACTTCGGCCTTTCAGAGCTTTTCCATCATTTACTTGTTTAAATAAATTGTTAGCTCTATCCTACAAAACAAACATTTAATTATACTTTAAATCAAATTAGTAATAATTTTTTATGTGCAGTTAAATTTGGATGAAAACAATAATTTCTACCACTATGACATGGTGAAAACTTACCTGACCAAACATGCCTATGTGAGTTTTACTCATTACTTTGCCTCATTCATCCTTTTTATCATAGTGAAACTAAAATTGAGCCATAACAATCCTTAAAGGGTTGCATTTCTGTTAATAAGGACAATGCAATTTCCCATAGGAACTCCCTTTGCGGCTAAAACTCTGCCACTTTTACTATGAAGTTTCGTAAAAAATTATATCCTAGAATGAAAAGTTGATATGCACTACTATTTTATTCAAAGGTCAAGACATAGGGCTGTGCGGCATATTTTCAACATTATTATGCCCCGAACTTGTTAGAGTTTAAATGTATACTAAAATTCTGTACTACCCCTACCTTCACTTTGTGTCTACTTCAGAATTCAATTTTCACCGCAACAATATGCTTTTATACTGGTAACATTCCCAAGTAATGTCTCTATGAGATGAAACATAGAGATCATATCTGGGAACCAGTACGTAAACAAAACGAAATACCTATGAATATTATATATCTCCCCAAAAGAGGCGTGGTTTAAGAAACAGCTGTATTAACAAAGAACAACCTTTAAGGTGTCTTGTTTATAAATCGCTCCAGCAACTTTATTGAATAAATGTACCAGCTATATGGATAGGAAACCCCTTCCCATATCTTTTTTTTCTAAAAAGAGTTTCTAAGGTTTTTTCCACATGATCAACTGCAAAATACTTGAATATTTTCTTAATCTCAAAATTGCCCCCATCTATATGATATTCATAAATTAATTAAAATCCTTTTAAGGATTATGGGAGATAAAGACCCTTTAGGGAATCTTTCACTAATATTTAAAATGATCTAGTCATCACGCCTGTTATTTCAAACAATAAACTGTTAACACAGAGATATGTCTCGCCTTTTTGTACTTTTGTTAATGCAAATGTTGAAATCAAAAAAGCAATACTTTAACATGTAAGTTATGCAAATATTCTAAGTCAATGAACCATGACTGAAGGTACATGGCAAAACAATCTCCATGGAAATGAGATGTGCCAATGCTAATACAACTGCATACCAAATACCATAGACTTATCATAAGTCAATCCCTTTCAACAAACCTAAACACAAACATTGACTTGTAAACTATGTAAAAATTTCAAAGTCAATGAACCATGATGAGGGGGTGGGGCTATATAATCTCCATGGAAACGAGACTTGCAAATGCCAATAAATTTGCATACCAGATATCATTGACATTAGCGGTTCATCTTAAACTGATCTAATCACAAACTAATACATGTAAACTAAGCAAAAGTTTCAAAGTCAACAGACCATGACTGAGGGGGCGGGTTCAAATATTCTCCATGGAAATGAGATGTGTTAATGCTTTACAATTGCATACCAATTAACATTGGCCTACCACTAATGGTTCCCCCTGAACTGACCTAATCACAAACTAATACATGAAATATAAGCAAAAGTTTCAAAGTCAATAGACCATGACTGAGGGGGTGGGACCAAATATTCTCCAGTGAAATGAGATATGTCAATGCTTGTACAACTGCATACCAAATATCATTTACTTACCACTTGTGGTTCCCCTTGAACTGACCTAATCACAAACTAATACATGTAAACTAAGCAAAAGTTTTAAAGTCAATAGACCATGACTGAGGGGGTGGAGCCAAATAATCTCCATGGAAATGAGATATGTCAATGCTTTTACAACTGCATACCAAATATCATTGACTTACCACTAGTGGTTCCCCATAAACTGACCTAATCACAAACTAAGACATGTAAACTAAGCAAAAGTTTCAAAGTCAATAGACCATGACTGAGGGGCAGGGCCAAATAATCTCCACGGAAATGAGATGTGCCAGTGCTAATACAACTGCATAACAAATATCATTGACCATCCACTAGTGGTTCACCTTAAACTTGACCTAATCACAAACTAATACATTGTTGACGCCGACGCCGGAAACAGCATACCTATGTCTCGCTTTTTGACTCCGTCAAGGCGAGACAAAAACTGGTTGATAGTAAGCTTAAATTGCCTTATGTTTTTGTTCATTATTTAAATTGTTTTACATTTTTCATTTCAGGGCCTTTTATAGCTTACTGTGTGGTATGGCTTTTGCTCATTGTTGAAGGCTGTATGGTGACCTATAGTTGCTAACTTCTTTACCACATCATTTGATCTCTGGTGGAGAGTTGTCTCATTGGCAATCATGCCATATCTTCTAATAATTTTATGTTACATGAAAACTTTAATTTTGTTACCATAAAGTCTGAAACATGTTTACCATTATTTACATATTTCTTATTTCCATACTGTTTATAAGTTATCATTTCAAATTCTACTTCTCAATAGCTGTACCCTGACTTTTAAACAATTTCTTATAGGAAGGATGATAATTTACAAGTAATGTTGATCAAACCTCAATCTATACGCATAAAATCTTAAAAGAATAAGATTTATGTCCTTTTAAACTTACTGCTATCATTTTAGGAAGATTAAGTCTGTCTCCCATGTTTCCTATTTCCCTGAAGGCATTTATCAAAGCTCTGTCAGCACTACTCATCTAGAAAATACAAATAATCTCACTTACAATAAAACACAGCACCTACAGAAATCATCAAGTCAAAATTGCTGATACTCAGGGTTCAGAGTTTTCTTTCAGGTGAGTCCAGCAATATGTCATTTTCACCAAAAATTAAATATGAAATTAACAGACATAAGGGCAATAGATATATGACTTACCGTTCTTCTGTTTTTATACATTGGTTTTCCATGTTCATCATGCGACAAACTGGTCGGATCTGTTGCTATCATTGTACTCAATATATTACTTACCGTTCGTCTGTTTTTATACATTGGTTTTCTGTGTTTGTCATACGACATACTGGTAAGATCTGATGCAATCATTGTACTCAATAGATATATTACTTACCCTTCTACTGTGTTTATACATTAGTTTTCTATGTTCGTCATACCACATACTGGTCGGATCTGTTGCTTTCATTGTACTCAATAGATATATTACTTACCATTCTACTGTGTTTATACATTAGTTTTCTATGTTCATCATACGACATACTGGTCGGATCGGCTGCTATCATTGTACTCAATAGATATATTACTTACCGTTTTTCTGTTTTTATACATTGGTTTTCCATGTTCATCATGCGACAAACTGGTCGGATCTGTTGCTATCATTGTACTCAATATATTACTTACCGTTCGTCTGTTTTTATACATTGGTTTTCTGTGTTTGTCATACGACATACTGGTAAGATCTGATGCAATCATTGTACTCAATAGATATATTACTTACCCTTCTACTGTGTTTATACATTAGTTTTCTATGTTCGTCATACCACATACTGGTCGGATCTGTTGCTATCATTGTACTCAATAGATATATTACTTACCATTCTACTGTGTTTATACATTAGTTTTCTATGTTTGTCATACGACATACTGGTCGGATCGGCTGCTATCATTGTACTCAATAGATATATTACTTACCGTTTTTCTGTTTTTATACATTGGTTTTCCATGTTCATCATGCGACATACTGGTCGGATCTGTTGCTATCATTGTACTCAATATATTACTTACCGTTCGTCTGTTTTTATACATTGGTTTTCTGTGTTTGTCATACGACATACTAGTCCAGTCTGTTGCTATCATTGTACTCAATAGATATATTACTTACCATTCGTCTGTTTTTATACATTGGTTTTCCATGTTCGTCGTACGACATACTGGTCAGGTCTGTTGCTATCATTGTACTCAATAGATATATTACTTACCGTTTGTCTGTTTTTATACATTGGTTTTTCCTGTTTGTCATACGACATACTGTTCAGGTCTGTTGCTATCACTGTACTCAATAGATATATTACTTACCATTCATCTGTTTTTATACATTGGTTTTCCATGTTCGTCATACGACATACTGGTCAGGTCTGTTGCTATCATTGTACTCAATAGATATATTACTTACCATTCGTCAGTTTTTATACATTGGTTTTCCATTTTCGTCATACGACATACTGGTCAGGTCTGTTGCTATCATTGTACTCAATAGATATATTACTTACCGTTCGTCTGTTTTTATACATTGGTTTTCCATGTTCGTCATACGACATACTGGTCGGGTCTGTTGCTATCATTGTACTCAAGTCTCCTCCATCTAATAATGGATTCTGTAAAAACAAAATGTGGTGCAATGTAAAATATATTCAATCAAACAAACACATTTTGTTGAAAATATGGAATCCTGGACATTTTGAGAACTGCAATACGTGAACAAAGTCAATTCTATCTTTTATTCTATACAAATTTGTAAATTTTGAACCCTTTTCATAACCATTTTCCTGAAATTTTCATCATTAAACTCAAAAATGTTTGCAGTTTTTCTCAATTAAATTTTCATAGTTTTGTTTAAACCTTAGTTTTTTAGATTTCATAAGTTAAACATGAGCATTATTTTTTTGACATCACAAGTTACTATATTCATTCTTTTATATTTGCATATTTCCTTTGTTTTTGTCAAAACTGATCAGTGTGATTTCTCATCCCACATTGCTTTTTGTTTTATGTATGCATTATTAAAGGGGCATTAGCTGTCAAATTCATGTTCACTGATTTGACTCAAACTCTCATATTTTATTGATAACATTCTAAAACGTATATCCAAATTATAAATAGTATATGAACAATTTACGATGTATGGACTTGATAATATGTATCAGCATTTCATTTGTATTTTAGTCTAGACACCATCTAATTAACCATCGATGTGACCTTCGAAGACTGCCAACGATCATATAACCCGATATAAACACAAATATAGATATAAATAGATAATGAACATGTGCAAGTTTTTGTGGATCGAATCAGTCAACCAAATAGTTTACCCTTGTTCCCCTTTCAATGTTAAATTCTATTCCTTTAAATCACTGAAAACGCCTAGTTTATGCGTAACCCATCTCTAGCTAAGAGGGCCTGAGGTTAAATTGGAGGTCACATGAATACGGATTCAATGAGGTCGAATTATCAGCAATGTTTCATAGCTTTTTTTTGGCAAAATCAAACAAAACCGGCTGCTAAAAGCAAATTATTATTTGACTATTTCACTTTCATTAATGATTGAACAAAAGAATATAATATTTTTTTTTTATATCTTGTAGCTAATGCCCCTTTGAGACAATTTTTTTGTTCATATGATTTTATGTTAATATGAGCAAATGTATATACAAATGTAGTAATATTTTGACTTCAAAACTTAAGTCTGCAATTAAATTAAAACATGAATCCTTGAAAATTATAATTAAAATTTCAAAAATAATTTTACATATTAAGCAAATATTTCTGAGATTATAAGTGAAAAGTCATGAAAATTGGAGATGAAATGAGCTCAACATAATTTTTTGAAATTTATTGATTTATATAAAATACACAGAAATACGAAAAAAAAATTAATTTTGTCCACATACTGTACTGACCTACTGACCTAGGACCAATTACTGTCAGTAACCAGTTACCGTCACCTGGCATTTTATGCAATAATGGACACTTTTTGTTAATACGGCATACTGCTATCATCTGCACACTATAACTTTCATTTGATTTTTAGAGGCTTTGTTTTATTTGATCTGATTAAAACAAAAAAATTATGAGTTTTCATTTTTTTTAACACGTTGTTGGAAGATAGGCATGCGGGAACATGACGTCCTCGATTTTAAAAAACTTATCGTTTTCAGACAAAGTAATATCAAAGCATGCTTTAGAACAAAAATTTCTTTCCTGACAATTTAAAAAAGTTTTAATAATTTGAAAATTAACTTCTTTGCTCTTATTGGATACAATGTAAGCTGTTGATTTCAAGTAAAATAAATTCTTAATCAGTTCAGATTTAGTAATAGGAAGAAAAGCTCCAGAAATTTGGATGCAAGAACTATATGTTAGGTTTATTTGACATCCAACTTTATCTTCCTACCATTGAATATCAAAATATGACTATAGTTCAGATTAAGCGAAAAACTTCTATTTAGTAGTTAGATTCTGAAGTGACAGTAACTGGTCCTTTTACTCAAAACATTTCACACAATTGCCACAATAGTACACTGCTTTGCCTCATTTATGAGAGGATTTGAAGACGAGTCTACATTGCTAGAACTGACTTTTGGTAGTCCATTATATGTTAATAAATTATGTGCAAACAAAATTCCTGTTAAAAAATTCGTAAGGTGTTCTGATGAACCCTGAACCTCTCCTGCAACTGCTGTTGTAAGAGTAAAAGTATAATGTTGATTTAAAAAAGTGAGTCCATTTATCAGTGAAATACAGAATTAAAAAAAAAATTAACTTTTACTTTAGATGCTATTTCTTGGTCTTGAATATTAGCTTCTGTCCAAGTTTCATAACAATCCATGAAGGTTTACAAATTTATCATGTCAAAAAAAGTAAATGTTAACTGTAAAAAACAAAGTCCATCTATCAGAGCAAGAGGCTCTCAACTTCTCAAGAACCTGAATCGCTCACCTGTAATTTTTTGCTTAAATCTTTCATCAACTATTATTTTTGCTTTTCAATATATATTAATGAATGGCTTAACTCACATTTGTCAAAATGACAACAATATAGAAACCCTGCAACACTTATTTTTCAGTTGTAGTACATCACAGTTAATTTTAAAAAATCTCCAAGAAATACTTATCAAATCAAACATAGAAATAAATAATCCTCTTGTTGAAAAGGACATTCTGTTAGGTAAAAACACGGGAATACTAAAATATGATAATTTTCTAAACATAATTATCATATATTCTAAATGGACTGTATGAAAAATTAGGAAAATTAGGAATTCAATAAAATTTAACAAAACACCTAAAGCACCTCAAGATATTTATAATATCTGGAAACATAACTTGAAAAATAATCTAAAAATTGTTCTTCTATTGAAAGGCATTGACATCATTGATAAGACAAAATTGGAGTCGGTGATAACGAAAATTTAGACAGTATAAGCTTGAGTCAAAGTACATTTTTTTATGGTTTATTGTATAAGAATATCGAAATGATAAAAAAGTGTTAGCCTATCATGTTTATTGTAGTAAATGCACATCTTTTGTGTGGGTATCTTATTATTTACTTACTATTTTGAAATTAAGGTATAGAACTGTTAGATGCTTCTAACATTATATGGATATATTTTTGACACTAATTTAAATACAAGGTAAAAAGTGGACTACATTTTTATTGCCTTCTATTACCCCTGGATAGATGGTTCATTTTGTAAACAGGGACCCTTAGCCTGTTCCTGGACGACTAAGGTAATTGTATACAGGAAATATTTAGGAATAAAACATTTATAAAAAAATTTAAAAAAATAATGAGTGGCTTAAAAATGCCATTTAAATGTTTTTTGTATCTGTCATATTTTCTTCAAAAGCAAAAAAATGCATTTTACCCTTATGTTCCATTTTAGCCATAGTGGCTATGTTTCTTGACGTACAAGAAAATAAAATACAAAATTTATACTAGATACTCTGAAAATCATATCAGCCCAAGTTTGGCTGAAATTGATTATATAATAATACATTGTAATAATAATAATAAATTCTTTACTTAAAGAGGGTAAACTCAGTTAGTTACAATAAACTAATCTTCCCTGAGGCCCTCACATACAAATTACAATACAATCAAAAACAGATATTTACACATAGTTAATTTACAGTCAATTAGTTCAATGTAATATTACTAACATGATAAGATATAAAGCTGTTCAAGATGCACATGTAGTCAAAAAATCAAATAAAAATAAAAATAAAAGAATATACAAATACATTGTAGAAAACATAATCTTATCAGGACTGTGTTAAGTACTTCTTGATACTTTGTTTAAAAGTATAAGTGTTTTGAGCTTTACGCATTTTGTGTGGTAGTCCATTCCATAACACTGATCCAGAATAAACAAAAGATTTCTTAAATAGCTCAGCTTTTGGCTTAGGAACTATCAGATTACCTTGAGTGACACCTCTCAAGGATTAAGGATTATTATCTGATTTCAGTTTAAACTTTTGAACTAGGTACATTGGAGCTTCCATACGCATACATTTATATAGAAGTAAATATTTGTGGTATTTGATTCTATTGTCAACTGTCATCCACCCAAGTTCTGTAAATAAGGGGGCTGAGGGGGATAAAGGATCTGCATCTAGAATTAATCTTGCTGCCCTTTTTTGGAGTTTTAAAATTCTTGTTATCCCTTCATTTTTACATTCACCCCAAATAATACAGCAGTAGTCAATCAGGGGCAGAATATACCCATTGTAATATGTTTTCCTTGCATTTATATCTAAAAATTTCTTTATTTTAGAAAGAAGGTATATTCTGGATGATATATTAGCACAAACTTGGTCAATTTGATTTCTCCAGCTAAGTGTGCTGTCAATTTTAACACCTAATAATTTTTCACATGAAGAATTTTGTAATACTTTTGAATTTATTATCAAGTTTGGTTGATAAGTCTGAATTGATAGTTTCTGCTTTGTTCCAGTAACCAAACATTTTGTTTTGTTTGCATCAATGAACATGTTATTCATTTTGCACCACTCTTCAACCCTGTATAAATCTTCTTGAACATCATCATGTATATTTTCTATGTTTTTCCCTGATTTATGAAGAGTGGTGTCATCAGCATATAGGTCTGTTTCACAATTTTCAATGCATAAGGGAAGGTCGTTTATAAATAGCACAAACAATAGAGGACCAAGTATAGAACCTTGGGGTACACCAAATTTTACATGTTGTTGTTCAGAGTAAACATTACAAATGTTTACCTGCTGTTTTCTGTTATTCAGGTATGACTTGAAAAAACTAACAGTAGCCTCACTAAATCCATAAATTTCAAGCTTTAAGCAAAGAATGTCATGATCTACCAAATCAAAAGCTTTTTTAAAATCTAATAAAATTGCTAGGTTTAAATTACCATCATTCATTTCTTGCAACCATTTGTCAATGATATTAATAAGTGCAGTTTGACAAGAATGCTGCGGCCTGAAACCAGATTGTGTAGGGTGTAAAAGTTTAAGTTTAGATAAGTATTTGTACATGTTATTAGAAACATGCCTTTCTATTAATTTTGATAAAGTTGGAAGAACAGATATAGGTCTGTAATTTGTTGCTAAAAGCTTGTCACCATCCTTGAAAACTGGTGTTACCTTAGCATTCTTCAGTAAAGAAGGATATATACCAGTATCTATCATTCGGTTAAATATGTATGTGAGAGGTGATGCAATAACAGGGGCGCTTAATCTTAGAATTTTTGGTCCTATATTATCCATAGAAAATTTATCATGTTTATGTAATTTATTTTTAACAAATTTACCAAGATTACTGAAATCTGCTTTGTTTACAGGTGTATAACTTCCTTGTTCTCTTAATTTTTCAGCACAGGAAGTGAAAAAGTTATTAAAAGTTTCTGCTATTGATTTTTTACTTTTAGTTGTATTGTTATCTTCTGTGGCTAACTCATATGGTGTATTTTTAACTTTTGGGTTCAGACTGTGAAGACATTTCCATAAAGTTTTAGGGTCATTGGAGTCTTTTACCATATTTTTATAATAATTCTTTTTTGAGCTATCTATGATATGTTTAGTTTTATTTCTCCAAAATCTATACTCACTCCATAAACCAAGTGCATTATATTTATCTCTCATATTCCTAGCTAAATGATTTCACTGTTATACCATTCAGGCTGTCTGTCCCTTTTAACTCTCTTTTTAACAACAGGAGCATGTTTATCTAAAGCTTTGTTCAACATATCATAAAACAATTGTAGACAGTCAGAGGGGTTTTCTTCAAATTCAATTTTATGAAAAGGTGTATTTTGCAGATCTAATAAAAATTCATTTTGGTTGAAATTTTTGAAATTTCTATAAGTAATTGTACTGTGTGTATTCTTTTTTCCTATATTTGCTTCTTTTCTTGTTAAACAGATAGGATAATGGTCACTAATTGCATATCTACACACATGTGATTCATGTACCATATTTGGATTATTGACATAAATATGATCAATTAATGTACTAGAATCTTTTGTTACCCTTGTGGCATCTACAATCAGTTGTTGAAAATTGTATGATTCTAAAACATTCAGCCATTTTTGAGGAGGTTTGTTTGGTGCTTTAAAATTAAAATTAAAATCACCCATAATTGTTATATCTGAATTCATGGTCATTGCCACTCTTATTTCTTTTTCAAAATCATCAACCCAATCTATCAGTGACTTTGGTGGCCTATACACAAAACATAATAAAAAGGATTTTTTGTAATCTGGTTTAATTTCAACCCACATTGTTTCAATACCCCCTATTTCGATGTTGTTTTTTCTTAAAAATTTAATTGTTTCAGAAAAATAAACAATCAGACCACCCCCGCCTTGTGATGTTCTGTCCTTTCTTTCAAATACATAACCAGGTACTTGTAATTCATTATCAGTAGTGTGTTTTGTTAAAAATGTTTCACACAATCCTAATACATCAGGTTGGTTATCAGAAAACATAAGGTTATGTTTAATTTCTTCATATTTACTTTCAATCCTATTAACATTATGAGAACAAATCCTTATACCTTTGGATTTACTAAAACCATAAGAATTAAAAATCAGCAGTTTCAAAGGAGAAGATGTTATAAAGTAAGCAAACTAGATGAACAAATTGTGAAAAATTGTCTATAAAGGACAATAACTCCTTAAGGGGTCAATTTACAATTTTGGTCATGAAACTTATTTGTAGATTTTACTTTGCTGAACTTTTATGCTGTTTACAGTTTATCTTTATCTATAATAATATTCAAGATAATACATTGTAACCGAAAACTGCAAAATTTCCTTAAAATCATCAATTCAGGGGCAATAACCAGAAAATCAGATACAGATTTGGCTGATAATTTCAGGCCAGATAGACCTTGACCTAATGAATACTTTAACTTCTTGTCTGATTTGCTCTAAATGCTTTAGTTTTTGAGATATAAGTCAAAAACTGCATTTTACCCTATGTTCTATTTTTAGCCATGGCAGCCATGTTTTCTGAGGAAACAGAAAATATAACACAAACTTTATTCTAGATAACCTAAGAATCATTAAACTCAAGTTTGGTTTAATTTGGTTCAGTAGTTTCAGAGGAGAAGATTTTTAAAGTTAGAAAACATGATAAACAAATTGTGTAAAATTGTCCTTAAAGGGCAATAACTCCTTAAGGGGTCAATTGACAATTTTGGTCTGTATGATGACCATTAGATGTCTGTTGTTGTTAGTCTGTATGATGACCATTAGATCGTTGGGTTTATTGTGTGTTGTTAGTCTGTATGATGACCATTAGATGTCTGTTGGGTTTATTGTGTGTTGTTAGTTGGTGTGTTGACCATTAGATGTCTGTTGGGTTTATTGTGTGTTGTTAGTCTGTATGATGACCATTAGATGTCTGTTGGGTTTATTGTGTGTTGTTAGTTGGTGTGTTGACCATTATATGTCTGTTGGGTTTATTGTGTGTTTTTAGTCTGTATGATGACCATTAGATGTCTGTTGGGTTTATTGTGTGTTTTTAGTCTGTATGATGACCATTAGATGTCTGTTGGGTTTATTGTGCGTTGTTAGTCTGTATGATGACCATTAGATGTCTGTTGGGTTTATTGTGTGTTTTTAGTCTGTGTGTTGACCATTAGATGTCTGTTGGGTTTATTGTGTGTTGTTAGTTGGTTTGTTGACCATTAGATGTCTGTTGGGTTTATTGTGTGTTGTTAGTCTGTGAATTGACCATTAGATGTCTGTTGGGTTTATTGTGTGTTTTTAGTCTGTATGATGACCATTAGATGTCTGTTGGGTTTATTGTGTGTTGTTATGTTACTGTCTCATTGACAATTTATTATCAATTATCAATTTATGTATATCTAATGCTATTTAATCTACATCATATTCTATTATGTTTGTTTATTTTTTTAGAATCTTACCTCTGCAGCTCCAACACGAGATGGATCCTTGTTACCGGTACTTTTTTCATTACTAAAAGTTCTCCATTCTGTCCCAACATCTACAACACTGTCAACAAACATTTATAATATGTTATACTAAATTAACTAATATCAATTAAGTCTTTGCGACTTCTGAACCTCACAACAAAACAGAATTAAATTGAACTGATCTCACATTTTGTAAATATAATTTTCCTCTTCTTGAAGTAATATTTGATTTACAAATGTTTGATGTGTATATTTGTCTTTAGCCAGTCAACAAATGCATGTAGGTTGAGAGTTCCAACCCTGCTATTGGCAAAATTTGTCCAATCTTAATTGACTAGGATTGCAAATACTGAAGGTTCTCCAATGGTACTTAGACTTCTTGCACCGACAAAAACCATGATACACTATAGACAAGACTGTAATGAAAGTAACATTAAACACAAATATTTATTCAATCATTAAGAACCTGTTATTTGTAGTTGCTGTGGAAATTCCAATGAAAAAGTGTGAAGGAAAAACAGACAGATCTAAATAATAATTACAACAATCAGTAACTTTACCGATCTCCAACCACAAGTCCACATTCAGGACAGATCATGTCTCCAGCATGGTAATCTTCTATTAAGTTAGCATAAGGATGTTCTGGACAGCATATCTGTTTTGTCTTTGGTCTGAAAAATATACAATAAATCAGAGCTCCAGATAAGAATTCACAAATTGGGGTTTTTACTCACCATTTTTTTATGTAATTGGGTGATAAAGTTTTTAAATTGCATTATCAATTCCAATTCACCCCTCAAGCAAATATCAAATTGGGTTTTTCACCACCAAGCTCCTTAATGTATTGGGTTTTTTCATCAACACAATATTGAATGTTTAGGCATTTTATAATCACATTATATCAACCCCATGCAGATGTTTTTCCATCTTAAATGTGTTTCTTTCTTTGTATATATGCTAGCTGTTTTATTTGGTTTATTCACTGACGAGCAATTGTACGTTTAATTTGTGTCCGATTTTAAACGTTCTGCCAGTTTTGTATTTTCTCACTACTTATATAAACTGCAGCTGGTGTCACTAGTTGGACAGTTACTAATTACCTTTCTAGATTCCATATGATCACCTTACAGTTTAGTTGGGGTAGGCGTGGCTAAGTGTTTCGATTTTTATGTAATAAATGTGAAATTTAGGTGCTGTAAGAAAGTTTTGCCAGTCCTTTCACCTATTTACCAGATCTACTTTTTAATAAAAATAATAAGTAGCTCCCAGATTTAAGATATACCCCAAAACCTTGACCAGGTTTATAGGTTTATAGGTTTAATGACGGAGACCACATTCAACTTAAATTTACAGAGTTAAATTTACAAATAATTCTGTAACATCAAATAAATAAATGACAATGTTAAACTGCACTTGCCAATAAGACAACTATCATAAGCATACAGAACAATAAGACCAAATCAAAGAAAGTGTCAAGATGCACTGACGTAAAAAACGGATATGTGTATTCACTCATCAACTAAAATGAAAAAAATAATATATAAACTAAAATTATACTTGAATGTTTTTGTTTAATTTAATTTACATAAATCTGGGTTAAGTTGTCCCAGCTGATTAGAACTTTTGGTTTCTGATGCTTTCCAACTACATATATCATGTCATAATTGATTTGGCCTTTCACTTTTTCCAACTGATTTCGTTCTTGACAAAACCCCGTGTTTATCGTTCTAGCAATGTTCTCGTTAAGGTACGCAAACGGGTCTTGTTATCATCATAATAACTTTCCCTAAAGTATCAAAAAGAAGCTGAAAACATGCTTCTATTCTATATTTTTATCGGATATTTACTTTTGTTTTAATTCATTGTACATGTATGTTATGATAAATCCCGAGCAATTCTAAAAAAATATGACAACAAGACAAACGCTAATTGGATAAATGCCGAGAAGATCGAAATATTTCCATAAACACGTGTACCTTTTGAGCAACGGAAAATTCCAACAGGGACCCATTTCGGCTACTTGATGCAGGGCTCTATTTTCAGAACTAAAGGACATTTCCAATTATAAATATTATAAAAATAGATTTATGCAACGACTGTAATCAGATAAGGGTAAATAACGCAAACGATAGCGAATAAAAGCGTTAAGAACTCATGGTTTTGGCATATAATTGGGTTTTCCTTTGAATGAATTGGGTTTTTGAACCCTGCAATGGGCAATTTCATTGGGTTTTTGATTATTTGTATTGCGTGATCACGCAAATACATGTACGCAGCTTATCTGGAGCTCTGAATAAATATTTTCCTATCTTGTATAAAGCTTACTGTACATGTAGCATAACTAACAGTATACTTACATTGTAACATAGAAGTTAGCAATTGTGTTTAATACTTTCAAATTCTATGTAGAATGTATGTTTCATGTGGTGATAATGCAGCAGCAATTTTGAATAAAAATGGTAAGGGTAATTAGACCATAATTCAAAATGTTATCAAATAAATGAATAATTTTTAAGATTGGTATCCAACTGGAATCTCAGGCAGACATTGAGGTTAAATATTAAGATGAAACGCTCAATTTTTGTCATGTTTGTACATGTAGATAATTAAACAATAATTTGATTCTTTAAAACTATTCAGAAATATCTTAAAAGAAATGTAGACTTGAGAGTGCTTCCAAAGAAAATTTCCTTATTAATATTTACAAGGGGCATAACCCTTTTAAACATAGTTGACTGACACTGATTTTCTAATTTGTCAGATATATATTTATTTTCTCTGTGTTGGACTTGCCATGGCCATAAATGACAAGTCACCAGACTCACTTCAAAAGTCCTTAGTGAAAACCCTGCATACATGTATAACTTATTACTTCCAAGGGCATAACTCTTTTTAAAGAAGTTGATCAGCACTGATTTTTGAAGTCCAAGACATTGCTGATATAAACCTTTTACATCTGGGTGCGAGACAACTCTGCCTGAAGATGACTTGGCCTGTCTATAATTGCCATTTCAGACAAATTATGTCTATAATTGCCATTTCAGACAAATTATAAAAGGAGAGTTTTGACTATATAAATGATTTAATGAGTGTCATTGACGAAAAAGACTTTACCTTAAGAGAAGTTGGACTGTCTATAAGGCAAAGAATAAACTTAAAAGGGTGAGTATTGACGCCCATTTGTATATAAAAATGTTGAAAAAAGACAACTTCGAGCTAATTTAATTTAATTATTATGACTGTAGATAAAATGAAATTAGATTATAAGAAACAAATATAATAAATAAGGTTCTCAATTAACGTATAAATCCATTTTGTTTAATGAATTAATGAAGATTGTATTCGAAGCACCATGATGAAGTAAAAATTTAAATTTACATTAAATCAATTATTGCACGGCACTGCATTTGCCATTGCAGCAAGGTATATAAAGGATACATTTCTGTTAAATATCATATTTTATAATATAAAAAGCAGTTTTTTCTCTTTGATCTTTCAATTTTTTTCCAAAACTCACACATTTGCTTCATGAAAACTCGACACTGACAGCCCTGAAATATCCCAAACTCTTATGTTTATACTTTGTTAGAGTTTGCATTATAGACGGTCCAAGTTGAAAGTAAAAAGACAGTCCTGGTTGTCTTATTGACAGACTTTAGGTTGAATTTTCAAAAACAACTCAAATTTAAATAAGTCCTTAAGGGGGAGGGGGGTGAAAATATGGTAATTTAGACCTCCCTCGTTGGTGACAGGTCCAAAGGGGGGTATTTCAATTCTTATAGGAAAAAAGAGAGAGTCTCTCTTCTAGAACTGGTGTGTTGGTAGTTATTGTCGTACACACTATGTTTCTTACCCTCTGCTTGTTGATGCCATGATTCGAAATGCCGAATTGCCAATTTGTGAGACTTCCGGTACAAATTGATATCTAGATAGCGGAAACCTTCCCGGAATCCGGGTTACACTAATGCCCTGACAAATGTCATGACACATTGACTTTCGCTATGTCATGACCAATGCCCTGTATTCCTCTTCTTCTTCCAGGTGACCTGCATTAGCTTTCTCTCTTCACAGGCTGATAACAAAATATACAAATAAATGACTTCAAATCGATCGAAAAAAATAACTTTGTTTACTTCTTAAAGGATTGACTTCAAATTTAGATCAAATAATCTAATTAAACGGGCATTAGCTTCGAGATATAAAAAAAATATGATTTGTTTTATTCAATCATTAATGAATAATTCGACCTCGTTGAATCTGTATTCATGTGACCTTTAATTTAACCAGGAAGGCATCTCAGCAACTTAATATTTTGAAACTTTTGGGAACTTATTCACAAGGTAAGTAAGCGTACTATATTCATGATACATTTATTTTTAGCAATTTCAATTTCTGCCTTTTGGCATGGCATTTTTGTACTGAGAAAATTCAAAAAATAGAAAAAGCGCAAGAAAGAGCACTAAGGTTTGTGTATGAAGACCAACCAAGCTTTAAACAGTTGCTTGAAAAGGCTAAGATGCCTTCACTGCATATTCAAAGACATTGATCCTTTTAAAATAGTTAATAAATTAGTACCTGTCAGTTTGCATAATCTCTTAAATGTAAAAGATTGTAAATATTCTCTCAGATATAGCAATATACTAGATATTCCACATGTAAAAGCATAGTTTGGAAAGAAAAGTTTTAGATATGCAGCTGCTACTCTACCTGACCATTCCAGGACTGAAAATAATTTTTCACAATTCAAGAGCCTTATACAGTCCTGGAATGGACTGGAATGCCGTTGTTCTGCATGTAGATAAGCTTTTCATATATCATTTTTAGCGATTGCTCTAAATGTTTGCATTATGCTTTAAATTTTGCATGTGTTTTTTTTTAATTTTTATTTGTGCTTTAAATTATTTTTTGCTCTTAAAATTATTTTTTGCTCTTAATTTTAGTTGTGCTTAAATTTTAGTTGTGCTTCAATTTTAGTTATGCTTCAGTTTTGGCATGTTTAGATGTGTAATTTAGTAGTGCTTTACATGTACTTCAATATGCCTGTGCTGTATCTATGCATTGGAATAGTTGTTGCTTATATGTCTTATCTGCATGTTCTGTGTTTTAATGTTATGTATATGTCACTAAAATATTTGGTAAAAAGCTCTCAAGTGCTTATGTTTGAACTGTTATATGTGAACCGAATAAAATAAAACTTTCGTATATTTCGTAACCCCTTTGCTGGAGATGGGTAACGCATGTATTCAGCTATTAAAGGGAAACGAATATCAACAATGAAAGTGACACAAGGATGAACCATTTGGTTGACTCATTCGATCCACCAAAAAATCATTCTTATATAGGTAAAATCGATGATAAACATACTTTTTTTTAACCTACAATATGAAATCAAACAGACCTAGGAAAATCCAATTGCACGTGGTTGCTATCTATTTATATTTATATTTATGTTTATATCGGGTTATATGTCCGTCGGCAGTTTTCGGAGATCATCTCGATGGTTAATTAGATGAAGTCTAGACAAAAATACACGCGATATATTGATACAAATTATCGAGTCCATGCATTGTTAATTGTTTATTTTAGACTTTTTGTAATTTAGATATACGTTTTGGTATGTTATAAATCAAATATGAGAATTTGAGTCAAATCGGTGAACATGAATTTGACAGCTAATGCAACTTTAATAAATATAAAATCAAATATCAAATTTTCATTTGAAAATGTCGATATTTGATTTCACAAATGGGTTGATGAAAAATATAGTTTATCTCATATACTATATAAAATCATATAATTGATAAGATATCTTATATAAATTATAAGATATCATCTCATATAAATTTTTTTAATAAGATATCTTATAAACTTTAGAAGATATCCAGGGGCGGATTTAGGCGGGGCGTGGTGGGCGTGCGTCCCCCCTAAAATTAAAAACAGATGTTATGAAAAGACAATTAAAAATCGCTGGTAAAAGTAGAAATTCAAGTTCGTTTGCAAAATCTAATATTGGTCAGGTGAGCTATTGTCATATGTCTCATCTCACTTTGTGTCCGTCGGTTCGCCCGTCTATCTGTTAACTCTTCACATTTCTCTCGTCCTAACTAATATATACTTTGTATTGCATGCATCTCAAAAAACATGTTTAACCCCGCCGCATTTTTGCGCCTGTCCCAAGTCAGGAGCCTCTGGCCTTTGTTAGTCTTGTATCATTTTTAATTTTAGTTTCCTGTGTAAAATTTGGAGTTTAGTATGACGTCCATTATCACTGAACTAGTATACATATTTGTTTAGGGGTCAGCTGAAGGACGCTTCCGGGTGCGGGAGTTTCTCGCTGCATTGAAGACCCATTGGTGGCCTTCGGCTGTTGTCTGCTCTATGGTCGGATTGTTGTCTCTTTGACACATTCCCCATTTCCATTTTCAATTTTATAAGGTGTATGTACTAGATTGTATGTTGATTATTGTGGTGATTTTAGATTGTTGTCAGGGGTGGATTTAGGCGGTTTTAGCTTGAAACTTTAATTTCTCGCTAATTTTACCACAAAATATTTCTCGCCACGCTTGGCTTGGCGAGATATCTACAGTGCACCCACTCTAAATAAATATTTCGATAATTTTACCTCGAAAATTTCAATTTGCGCCCACCTAACCTAAAATCCTGGATCTGCCCGAGATATCTTGAAGTTAAAATAAATAGTACAACGGCTTGCCAAACGGGCTGGGTTGAGCGCTCACAAACATGTTTAACCCCGCCACATTCTTTATGTGCCTGTCCCAAGTCAGGAGCCTGTAGTTCAGTGGTTGTCGTTTGTTCATGTCTGTCATATTTGTTTTTTCGTAAATTTGTTTTGTTATAAATTTGCATTCATGTCCAGTGTACAAAGTAGTACCGATATTGTCGACATCGCAAAGTAGACAATGTCGACACAATATTGTACAACGTTGTCGATATCGTTTCATACTTTTGTCTACATCGTTGACATTGACGATATCGCGAAGTAGACAATGTCGACACGATATTGTACAACGTTGTCGATATCGTTTCATACTCTTGTCTACATCGTTGACATTGACGATATCGCGAAGTAGACAATGTCGACACGATGTTGTACAACGTTGTCGATATCGTTTCATACTCCTGTCTACATCGTTGACATTGACGATATCGCGAGGTAGACAATGTTGACACGATATTGTACAACGTTGTCGATATCGTTTCATACTCTTGTCTACATCGTTGACATTGCCGATATCGCTAACACATTACTCGTGTTTACATTGTTAATTGTTAATATTATATTATTGATTGTAATCATTAATAAGGAGAAATAGTAATCCATGATTAAACGATGTAATTTTATTAAAGGTATTTTTAATTCATTTGGCCATGAAGGGCAATCAGAGCTTTTGTATCACTATGTTTCCGTTGTATGTCATCTGTAAACTTTTTGAATAAGCAAACTTTTTGAAACTTGTCATGCATGATCTATGACATGTCATGATTATCAAGTAGACACCAATGGAGAAGGAACTTCCCACTTACAGGCAGCCAGATCTGGATGGCCCCAAACAAAACAAGAAGAATCAAACCCAAGAGCACAGCAAATATCCAAGTATCTAATTTAAAACTAAAAGGTTTAATAAGACAATGACACATCAATGACCAAAACACTCCTGACTTAGCACAGGCGCATATAAATGCGGTGGAGTTTAACTGAGTTTTGTTGGATTCGAACCGTCCCCCTCTACCTGGTCAGAGATGAAAAGGAAAAATAGAAAAAGTACCCACAGTAAAAATACATCCTTAATGTATCCAACCCAAAAAGGAAACGCCACATGACAATTAAACATAAAATACAAAAAAGGCTTTTTAAAAAAGATAGCTCGCAGTTATGAAAGCTAGCTAAGGATACATTTAGAAAAGATCAGTCCTCGAAATTGCCAATTTAGACTTTATTCCGGCATTCCTCTTCCATTAAAATGGGTCTAGAGTTATAGTTTCATAAACTAAAAGACAAAATACGAAGTCGTACAATGCCAATTATGAAACATATACTGAGTGTATCGTATAACTAACACAGTAATATCGGCGTTGTCAACAATGTAGACAGCAAGTAGGACGATGTAGACGATGTTGTAACAATGTTGTCAACTTCGCGATGTCGGCAATGTCAACGATGTTGACAGAGAAGGGGGACGATGTAGACAATGTCGTCACGATGTTGTCAACATCGCGATATCGGCGATGTCAACGATGTAGACAGCAAGAAAACCGATGTAGACGATGTAGTCACGATGTTGTCAACATCACAATGTCGGCGATGTCAACGATGTAGACAGGAAAGGGGGACGATGTAGACGATGTCGTCACGATGTTGTCAACATCACGATGTCGGCGATGTCAACGATGTAGACGATGTCGTCACGATGTTGTCAACATCACGATGTCGGCGATGTCAACGATGTAGACGATGTCGTCACGATGTTGTCAACATCACGATGTCGGCGATGTCAACGATGTAGACAGGAAAGGGGACGATGTAGACAATGTTGCGAGCAGGTATAAAATCATGAACGAAGTTGACAATATCGGCGATATCGTCACTACATCGTGCACTGGACATACCGTTGTTTTTCTCAATTGAATTGTTTCATATTTTTCTTGTCGGGGCCTTTTATAGCCGACCATACGGAATGGGTTTTTCTCATTGTTGAATGCCGTACGGTTGCCTATAATTGCTTACATCCACTTCATTTGAACTTTGGTTGATATTGTCTCATTGGCAATCATACCACATCTCCTTATTTTTATATTCGTTCACCCGACTTGTGTTCTCGAAGTTCCAGTTTGTAAGCATGTTTGAGATACATCTATCCACTCTTGATTCATCATCTTGCTTGTCGTTGCATCCCTTTTAGTTTGTGATACCGGTATTTGTCCCATACTATTGCGCCATACTCCATAGTTTATAACGGATTACTAGCAAAATAATGCTGTTTTCTTGCATTCCTGTTGGCAGCGACTTAAGTTTCTTCTAAAGAAATTAATCATGAAGTTTGCCTTTTTCGCTATATTCGATATGTAAATTTTATTGTTAAAAGTCAGACAAAAGAGCCGCCACATAGATAAAAAAGTTGTTTAAAACAATATTACTATTGTCATTTACAGAACAATGACGAATGAAGTATACCTAGCATTCGCGTTATTCTGGCCCTCCTGCAACCATGACTGCCATATTGACTCATGACATCAACATATGAGCTGCGTCGGATAGAAATCGACCTTATGCACATTAATATCAATATATCTGTTAACCTATCTCGGGATGAAAAATCTCTACGGAAAATCTGTTACTGTTTGAAAAGTGAGTTGTTATAAGAACCCTACAAAACAGACTGACATTTATCTTTTATTTCGTATTTGAATGTTCCATAATTAATCAAAGTCGTATACATGTACACGTATATATGTACTTGCATAAGGTCGATTTTTATCCGACGCAGCTCATATGTTTACAGGAATATAACACGGTGGGTGTCACTATAGTGGAGCATGAACTGTCGACCCTTCCGTTTTACCCGAGATATTTGGTTTGGTTCGTGTTGTTCACTCTTTAGTTATTGTGTAAAAATCAGAATACTTGGTATCTGAAATGAGACAACTATATTTATATAGAACAGAGAATGAGGATGGAATGTTTTGTGACAGCGTTTTGGTATATTCGACATTTCATTTTTGTCGTGGTACTAACTGTTTTTTTACGATCTACGGTGTTTGACCCCTCTAGTAGTATCTTCTCTCCTTTTTTTTGTATAAAGTGTTTTGTTTGTTGTTTGTCTTTACGTTCAATGGTAAATATTTTCTTGAATATTAAAGACTGGAACAATTAAAAATTGAATTCATTGATAAGCTCTGCAAAGCAGATTCCTTTTGGCTTTTCAGCTCCATGTGTATTTATGCACCGGCCATCGATCTTTTCTGGGGGGCAAAGGTTTTTTCTCAGGACAAACACATTTTTCGACTTTAATCAAAGGCAAACATTTTTTTTCAAAAACATACTAGAACTAGAATTTTAAGAATATTTTTTTTCCAACTCGACGTTGAAACCGTTTCCCTCCTCTTTCATGGAAACAAACTAATGTGTTTTTTTTTTCATTTTCCTTCTGAAACAATATTTTTTTCCGAAAAAAATTAGTATCGACAATTTATCTAGAAAGTCAATCCCCTCCCCCATAGATGAATGGCAGGCGCCTTATACATCTTAATTTCCCAATGTTTATGATGAAGATAAGTATAGTGGAAGCCATAAAAGTTTAAGCATGATGATCTTAAGTTCTGATGAACCCCGCTGAAATATTTCAACTAATTTCCATGGCAATGGGCAGTAAATTTAATCCTGTAACAATGTGGGAGAGCAGTAGAAACACAAAAATCTGATGTTTTATTCATTTTTGTATGCATGTGTTATTGTAGTTAGTTACCATTCCAACGTATATTTGTTTGACCAACGTTCACGATATATGAAATTGAAATGTAATAAGTTTAACACGATATCTGGTTGATTGATCGATTATTGTTTGTTGAAAGTCCAGTGGCATATATTGTATGCATATTTAGGACATATATTGTTTCTGAGTGAAAGAATTTTGTTATGTTCCAGTTAAAACTGTCCACCAACGACGGAATGTAATGTTTATGATTATATATATATATATAAATGATACAGAATTTTTTATGTAAGACTCATGTTTCCGAGATACGCTGCAGATCAAAGGCCAGTAAAACAAAATAAGTAAAACGTTTGGGAAATCAGTGTCTTGAAAGACCTACATGTATATCGAGAACATTCAAACTAAAACCGTCCACGGTCGTGTTAATCTTATGAAGTTTCTACCACCTTAGATATCTTTTTCTGATGAAGTTCCTACTTAAATATATTTGTCTGATGGAGTTGTTTCCTTGGATGTATTTGTAAGTATGAGTTGCTACCTTAGAAATCTCTGTCTGGTGGAGTTGCTACCGCCTTAGAAAGATAACATTGTTTGATGAAGTTGTCACCTTAGATATCTTTGTCTGAGTTGCTACCGTAAATATTTTTGTCTGATGGAGTTGCTACCCGAGATATATTTGTCTTATGAAGTTGCGACTACCTAAGATATCTTTATCAGATGGAGTTGCTATCTCAGATATCTTTGTTTGAATGAGTTGCTACCACCTTAGACATTTTTGTCTGTTGGAGTTGTCATCTTAGTTTTTTTTGTCTGATGTAGTTGCCACCTTAGACTTTTTTGTCTGATGGAGTTGCTACCTTAGATATCTTTGTCTGATGGAGTTTTTTCCTTCGATATATTTGTTAGTATGATTTGCTACCTTAGATAACTTTGTCTGACGGAGTTGCTACCGCCTTAGATAACATTGTCTGATGGATTTGCTACCTTAGATATCTTTGTCTGATGGAGTTGTTACCTTAGATATCTTTGTTCGATGGAGTTGCTACCTAAGATAGCTTTGTCTGATGGATTTTTTACCAACTTAGATATATTTTTTCTGATGAAGTTGTTACCTGCGATATCTTTGTTCGACGGAGATGCTACCTTCGATATCTTTGTCAGATGAAGTTGCCCGATTAGAAACGTTGGTTGGTGAAGTAGCTACCATAGATGTTTTGTCCGATTGAGTTGTTACCTTAGACGTCTTTGTCTGATGAAGTTGCTCCTTAGAAAATTTGTCTGATGTAGAAGCTACCATAGATATCTTTGTGCTATTGAGTTGCTACACTGATGAAGTTGCTATCTTTGTCTGATAGCGTTGCTACCTTAGAAAGTATTGTCAGATGGAGATGTTACCACCTTAGATATAATTGTAACCATTCGATTTTTTTTTATTTCGGCAATGAAACTTTGTCTGCTAGAGTTGCTACGTTAAAAATTTTTGTCTAATAGATTTTCTACCTAGATATCTTTGTCTGATAAAGTTGCTACATTAGATATAATATAGAGTTTCTACCTTTAGATATCTTTTTCTGACGGAGTTGCTATCTTAGATATCTTTGTGTGAGAGCGTTGCTCCCTTCGATATTATTGTCAGATGGAGATGTTACCCCTTAGATTAGATTTTTTTTTAATTTTCGGCAATGTCACATGGTTGTATTGTTTATGTAGATGTCATATTTTGTTGCTATTTAGTAACAATCATATTGTTTGGATTTTAAATTAATACATTTTTCTGATAATTACGACATTCTTAAACTCTACTACTGAACTATAAATCGGAATGATTTATTTTTCTGATATTAAATCATAGAATAATTGGCAACAATTCACATTTTATTTAAGCACTTGCTTACATTAAATAGTTGAAACATAATCAGTTAATAGTCGAAAAAAAACCAGCTTTCTTATGTATAGACATATTGACTTTTAAAGCTTAATTGAAGATATATATACTGTCAGAGCACAAATACATCGGACAATTATAAATCTTCTTCGTTTATATGTTCATTGTACTGTTGTTCTCGCACAACCAATGGTTTCAAACAAAACGCCCGTATCCTCCGAACAGACTGTTTCGCAGCGGTTCTAATCTCCTCGTCACTTAACCAGAGGCAAGGTGTAAATAATGATGTCAACGTGCACAGTATCAATGTTGCTTTGAATACCTCTAATCCTGGAAAGCACCTGTGTGATCTACAGGTTACCATTATAAACATATTGACCAAATAAGGGAACCAAAACAACATAGTAATACAACTAACAATTAACGTAGCAATGGTTGATGATCTGAGATGTGGAGTGATGTGACTCCCAGGAGTCTCCGTTTCGTCCATTCTATACCAAACAGGGCGTTTTACTTTGTAAACAATCAACATGATAACAGTTGTCAAGATTAAGAGTAAATTTGGTATCAAGTATGCAACAACGGCTGTCGGAACTAGCATATCATCATGTAATATAAAGCCACAAGTATGGCGAAACACAACACCCATCGTCTTTATGCTAGATAAAAGTAACGGCAAGAAAACACATAATGTGAAAAGCCACGGCATGATGAACAGAAACAGTTGCAAATATTTTATAATCTGTAGCTTATCCGGATACAGTTCCAAAAGTTTAGACAAGAATCTGTCCGCGCACATCGTTGTAATGACTAAAGAAGAAAAACCAAAATGTGTTACATCGAGGATAACATACGTTTGACAAAGTACATGACCATGTAGCCAAGCATAATTGTGCGTGTAACTTATTCCGAACGGCAGCACTAATACTCCAACGACAAGGTCAGACAAACATAAATTTAAAACCCGCCAATAGAATAATTGTTGTCGTATCTTTGAGTGACAGAGTATTAATACTGCAAGAGAAATATTTAGCAGTAGAACAAATACATTTACTAAACAGTCCATTATAATCAACAGTGTGTCTTTGTCTCCTATTTCGGGGGTGGCATCGATGGATAAGTCATCGCTTTCAGTATAGTTAATAACAAAGTTAATCTCCTCCATTGATAGCATCTGAAAATAGATAACAGAAATTTGAAGTAGTACAAGTAGTAAAACAATGGTATTTGGTTAAAAACTGTTGTCAGTAAACAATTGTAATATTTTGGCAAGTAATGTAATGAGGTATTCTAAAAGTACACAGCGAAATTTCACTCACGGGAATTTCACGTGAAAAAAAATCGTGTGATTTTCACTTGAAATTCACGTATAAGGTGAACATTTCAATGCACGTGAATTTCACCTCAAACGAGCTTATACGTGAAAATCACATGAAATTTTTTTCACGTGAACTTCATGTGAATTTTCAAAATAAAGTTATTCAAATAACATCAAATATTTCAAATTTAATTAAAATCATGAAGGATACTATTTTTGTGTGTAAAGTTCACGAGAAATTCACGTGAGTTTCACGTAAAACACGTGAGATTTATCTGAAATTCACGTCAGCACAACTCGCCTGTGTATGTTAACGATTTCAGTACGCATGACTTGTTTGTGTAATAATTATAATTATGTGAGCTCTGCACAAAAAGTTTAGAAAGACTTGCTTGAAGGAGTACCAAAATCGTATAAGCCTTGCATATTTGGCCTTTCTAACTTTTTTATTCGAGCGTCACTGATGAGTCTTGTAGACGAAACGCGCGTCTGGCGTACTAACTTTCAACCCTGTTATCTATGATGAGTTTATTTACGAGCGTCACTGTTGAGTCTTATTTAGACGAAACCGTCGCGTCTGACGTACTAACTTTTAACCCTGTTACCTATGATGAGTTTATTTACGAGCGTCGCTGATGAGTCTTGTAGACGAACCCTTCGCGTCTGTCGTAATAACTTTTAACCCTGTTTATATCAATGATGAGTTTATTTACATAATTAATGAACTGAAATTGACAATTCTAGTGTATAATTTAAATATAAATGACTACTCTGTATATATATATGGTACCCTCGATGTAGTGGTAGGAAAATAAATGCGTGATACCGAATATTTTGTTTTCTTAACAATGCAAGTTGAAAGAACTGCTTTTTAACATACACTGTAATTCACATAAGGACAATGCTAATTTGGTATCAGTTTGAATGAAAAACATTTATTTTAAGGAAATATAAGTGGTTTCAGATGAGACAGTTACACAGAAGAAAACTACCTTAAGTTTTTCTTGTTGTTTAAATAGAATAATTCAACGATTCATAGCGCACTGCAAATAAAAATGCCTCTTGATAGATAAACATATATACATATGAACAATGTAAAGAAACAACACTCGGTCAGATTTAAAATATGACAATAGCAGCCACTTGATAACAAGTTTCTGGTTTGGAAAATGGCCAAAATGTAAAAAGTGCTGTTAAAACGGTATTTTGTGTCTTTTGAAATTTTGTTATAGTTTGTTTTTTTTCTCACATATAATTTGTATTGATATCATGCGTCAGGCCCTTTTCAACAATTTTACAGTTCTAATCTTGACATGTGCTTTTATACCATTGTCCAAGGTTAAGGTAGGGTTGAGCACTCACAAACATGCTTGCTCCCGTCATATTCTTGTCCCAAGCCAGGGACCTGTACCCTGATGGTTGGAGGACCGGGAGGATTTTTTGTCTTTCGCTAAGCCGGAAGTTTTATTTCGCTTGGCACAGCCACGCGAAAATTTATTTTCACTTTTGTACGCAATTATTTATGCATTTTATAGGGCACAATCTTAATTTACATCCCGTCATTGACAATATTTGTTTCAGGTCTTACCAGATCTGTATATTTATTTCCTTACACCCCCCCCCCCCCCACCTCACCCCCGTTCTCCCTCCTTTGCGGGAAACCTCATACTAGCTACTTTTTGGTATTACACCAGAGTTGTCTGTCTTTGATCAATAACCTATCAGTCACGTCAAAGTTTCTTTGTGTCCTTTGTATCTATTTTCTTGTTTTTTACCTAAAAAATTTTTTTTAGCCTACCTTTTCAAAACCGCTAGTCCACGTTACTAAATGAAAACTACCTTATAATAAAATGTTTCATGTCTTAGATATGTCGCTTAAGGGGAATTCATGTAAACGCGAAATTAGTTTTTTGACAAGGTGATATTTTTTATTGACCTTATGAACTTATGATAAAAACATTGAAATTTAGCTGTAAACATGTTAATAAATTCGGTGGTTACAGGAAAAAGACTAAAATCTAACTGCTAACATGTATATGTATATATCGAGTGGAAAGCAGGAAAAGCTAAAAGCTTTATTTCTAAATCATAAAATGTGATTTAACTTCAGTGGTGGTGTTAACGTATATTTGATCCGTCTAATGTAAACTGGAAACCTTGTTATAATAACATAAACGGTACCAATTTGTCTGCACCAGATGTGCATTTCGACAATCAATGTCTCTTCAGTAATTCTCGAGGCCAAAATATTTGAAAATCCAAAGCTTATTAAAAAGATGAAGAGCCAGAAACCAAAAAGGACAAAAAAGTATAGCCAAAGCCGGACAAGGAATCAGAGCTTTGCATGAGGGAGATACATTCCTTAATTTTAAATAATTTCCAAAATTTTGTAACAGCAAATTCTAATAATTTCATGCCAGTACCAAAGTACTGGCTACTGGGCTGGTGATGCCCTCGGGACTAACAGTCCACCAGCAGAGACATCGACCCAGCGGTAGTAATAACATAAACGGTACCAATTGTTCTGCACCAGATGCGCATTTCAACAATCAATGTCTCTTCAGTGATGATCGAGGCCAAAATATTTGAAAATCCAAAGCTTATTAAAAAGATGAAGAGCCAGAAACCAAAAAGGGCAAAAAGTATAATGTCTCTGGCATTACAGATGGCTGAATTAGATTTGTAGCACATACAAACTTTAGTGCTATTGAACAAACACCGAATGTCTGCAAACAATGCTTGTATATCAATTATAACAAATTAATCTTCGAAATAGAATTAGCAGAAATTAAAACCCTAATTCATCAATGTTAACGAGAAACGTGGGGTACACAGTTTGACTATGAATATGAATAACTTTACAAATCATTCAAAAAAATGGACAAATCAGACACAGTTATATGCATTCGTTCAGTTTAAATTCTTCCTATGCAACAAAATAAACGGTTATACTATTCTGTAACATACTATATTCTGTGTAACGTAGGATTCTGAACGATGTATAATTACATTAGAACAATGTTGCAGGACCTCTACAAAATGACCTGACAACGCAACTCGTATCTCATTTATAAGTTAACTTCAAGATTTTCTTGGCTCTATCCCAAATCGAATTTGTTTTGGTTGGAACTTGTAGTATCAATATCTTACTGCGTATGCTAGTGTAGACGTATGGTATACATATGACTCCCAAATTCATGGAGGCTTGACACTGCAATATTGAAATATGATTCTTCTTTACCGAATAAAAAAATATTAAATACTCACATTTGCTTGTTTTTCCTCTTTTGTCTTTTACTCTACACATACCATGTTTCTTTATAATGCTATTACAATTCTAAATATTTAGGTACGCATGCGCTTATAGAATACAGCTGCAGAAACCATAATCGATAGCAGGAATGAATATGTGAGGCTGTTGATGCTAACGTTTTTAACCGTATTTTTCATAAATGTAATATATATATAGGTTTGAACGTTGTTTTCAATTTAGACTTATTTATATATATATATATTGTGTTATTTACTTATATATAATGACATTTTTAACAAGGTTTTCTGTCTAGGGTTTTTAGTTTAGTTTTATATTATTACTACTATGATGTGTTGGTATTATTCATTGCTATTAATATTCTTATTGTGTATTGTTTTTTAAAACATAATGATCCGTAAATACAGTATCAAAATCAATACATGTTGCAGTTTTCAGTCTGGTTTGGAACATTTCTTCTGGTATTCAACGTAAATTATAATCTTTCCTCGGATAATCTTTGTTTTTAAATATATGTTTGTCGGTCTTCGCGTTGAACGTCACTGACTTCCTATACATTCTGTACTTTGGCGTATTTCAAATTTAATCACTTTACTTCTTTACTTGTTCTTTAATAAAAGAATCGGCGTTAAAATACCGGATCGATTTTTACCCAATAAAAATAATTGTCTAAATCCATGGTAACTACCCACTTTACTTTCGAACGAGCACGACAGAAGCAATTTACTGGTGATCAAAATTTTAAACTCATACACTAAAACAGGAACCCTCAAAATGATTAAACTGTTAAGACTTTTTTAAAACTCATAGTTTCGTTGATTCCGATGCCTCGTGTCCGATATCTACATTTCAAGAGATCTTACTTGCAACAACTGATTGCATTGTCCGTAGTTGGTCTATCGCAATGCTAAATTTCTTACCCTATTGAAATGCCTTCCTTTTCAAATGGCATTTAACTGCTCCGTCTTCGTCAAGCTACTTTGCAATACCCGTAAATAAGGTCTATGGCTTTATTTGCTCTCGTCCTGAATATTCATGAAATATTTGTCACTGGACGTTCAACAACCATCAATATTTCCAAAAATGTTTTTTTTTATATATTTGTAATACTAAACTCTGCAAAATATTAATCATATAAGATAGGTTATTATATTCCTTTGATTTGTGTCATATTGATCCATATATGTAATGTAACTATTATCATCATTTTAATTTCCAGTTTGATTTTTACAGCTTTATGTATTGACTTAAATCATTTGTTTTCTTGTTCTTCTGTCGTGATGCTTATACATATTGTATTATAGACTTGACCTCATCTTACACGTTTAAATGTGTCTTGAGTCTTGAAATCATGTACAAATATGTATTATGGCTGTATGATCACCAGCATACCTTGCAAAATCTGTATCTATAAACATATGACACACTCATCTAGCTAGAAAATATTTACTTTTCTTATTAAGATACCTTTTGTTCAAGATTGATAATTAAAAAAAATGTCTTTTATTAGAAATGACGGACAATATCAAGCTTGCGCTAATATGCTAGCTATTGTTTGTTTAGTTTCTCCAAGGATTTTTATAGTTACTATACAAATAAAATTGAGAATGGAAATGGGGAATGTGTCAAAGAGACAACAACCCGACCATAGAGCAGACAACAGCCGAAGGCCACCAATGGGTCTTCAATGCAGCGAGAAACTCCCGCACCCGGAGGCGTCCTTCAGCTGGCCCCTAAACAAATATGTATACTAGTTCAGTGATAATGGACGTCATACTAAACTCCAAATTATACACAAGAAACTAAAATTAAAAATGATACAAGACTAACAAAGGCCAGAGGTTCCTGACTTGGGACAGGCTCAAAAATGCAGCGGGGTTAAACATGTGTTTTGAGATCTCAACCCTCCCCCTAAATCCTTGGTTTCTCTGACTTAACTTCCATTAAGTTTTGTTTAAATCAATGTCATTGTTTACAATAATGTTTATACATATCCGATATATTATTATGCACTGATGATCATTTATTTATCCATTCTTCTCCATAAGAGGAGATAACTCCTCCAAATCGGACACCGCGAAGCGAATTTTTCTCGTCTTAATGTGTACCTTGATGAATGATTTTGTTGTATATTAACCACAAATATTCGTCTTCCGGACACCTGCCTGTCGGATTGATAGTAGTTACCTCCCTTTATGTTGAAGCAAAATATGTTTGTGGCACCTAAACATTTTCAGTTATCTTTTTCAATATCTTTTTTTTTATTTTTGCCTTGTGGCACTCACTTTTTTCTATATTTGAAACTACTAATGTATGTTGTAGATGTCAGTTCTTTACGATAGCGTAGTATGCATGAATTTAAGTATGTCAAAGTGACCTAATAACTCATCTTGCAAATGTACTGGCTTATATACATCGAGATGCGAATTTCAACAAGCATTCCAAGATAAAAACGACGATGCAATGTTTTATTTTTCGAAAATAATTTAAGCGTAAAAAGTTTACTGTTTATTCAATCTGTTGTCTGAAAGAGAGAAGACGATACAAATGGGGTTAACAGAGATCATATACTGTGGTATCGTTGTTATTCGTGGGATACCAATTTTCGTTGATTTCGTGGGTACAGGTGAATCACGAATTTAAATGTTCAGCAAAGTACAAATTTTCTATAGTGACTTCTGCAAAACCGCGAAATTAAATATTAACAAAAATTAAATTTTCCCTCAATCCGCGAAAATAAATGAATCCACAGAAGGTTGCAGAAAAACAGACATATAACAGATACCATAACAAAAGGAAATAAATGGGGAATGTGTCCATGGGACACAGATGATGCCCCCGCTTGCATATCATATAAAGTTATAAAGGGACATAACTGAAGAACGGTAAAAGTGACACAAATTTGTTACTGATCTGAGTTTTGTAGTAATAAGTATTGTGTATATAAGTTTCATAACATTTGGTTGAGGCAAACATAAGTTTGAAAACGGAAACGAAAAATTCAGCATTTTTTCCTTTTGTAAAGGGGCATAACTCTAAAACGGTTAAAATGACACCACCAAAATTCAAACTTGATCTGTATTTTGTGGCAATAAGCATTATGTATAAGTTTCATAACATTTGGTTGAGGCAAACTAAAGTTAGAGAACGGACACGAAAAATTCAGCATTTTTTCCTTTCGTAAAGGGGCATAACTCTAGAACGGTTAAAATGACACCACCGAAATTCAAACTTGATCTGTATTTTGTGGCAATAAGCATTGTGTATAAGTTTCATAACATTTGGTTGAGGCAAACTAAAGCTAGAGAACGGAAACGAAAAATTCAGTAATTTTTCCAAATGTATAGGGGCATAACTCTAGAACGGTTAAAGTGACACCATCAAAATTCAAACTTGATCTGTATTTTGTGGTAATAAGCATTGTGTATAAGTTTCATAACATTTGGTTGAGGCAAACTAAAGTTAGAGAACGGAAACGAAAAATTCAGCAATTTTTCCTTTTGTAATGGGGCATAACTCTAGAACGGTTAAAATGACACCACCAAAATTCAAACTTGATCTGTATTTTTTGGTGATACTAGTAAGCATTGTGTATAAGTTTCATAACATTTGGTTGAGGCAAACTAAAGTTCGAAAACGGAAACGAAAAATTCAGCATTTTTTCCAAAAGTAAAGGGACATAACTCTACAACGGTTTAAGTGACGCCACCAAAATTCAAACTTGATCTGTGTTTTGTGGTAATAAGCATTGTGTATAAGTTTCATAACATTTGGTTGAGGCAAACTAAAGTTCGAGAACGGAAACGAAAAATTCAGCAATTTTTCCATTTGTAAAGGGACATTACTCTACAATGGTTTAAGTGACGCCACCATAATTCAAAATTTATCTGTGTTTTGTAGTAATAAGCATTGTGTATAAGTTTCATAACATTTGGTTGAGGCAAACTAAAGTTAGAGAACGGAAACGAAAAATTCAGCAATTTTCCATTTGTAAAGGGCATCACTGTACAACGGTTTAAGTGACGCCACCAAAATTCAAATTTGATCTGTTTTTGTGGTAATAAGCATTGTGTATACGTTTCATAACATTTGGTTGAGGCAAACTAAAGTTAGAGAACGGAAACCAACTTGGGGACGTACGGACAAGGGTAAAACTTGATGCCCCCTCCGCTACGGCGGGGGCATAAAAAATGATAACAGTAAATTAAGTCCACAAAACACTTCGAAGAAATCTAAAGAGTGAACAACACGAAAAACCGTGGGTAAACTGATGTGTTCCGTAAAAGTCAGCAGTACCTGCTCCTATAATGAAACTGAACGCTTACTTGCTCTGCTGGTAACACAGAGACTGAACGCTTACCTGCACCGCTAGTTACAATGAGAATGAACGCTTGCCTGCTCCGCTAGTTACAATGAGAATGAACGCATATATGCCCCGCTTGTTACAAAGAGACTGAACGCTTAATTACTCCGCTAGTTACTCACAGAGTGAACACTTTTTACCTGCTCCGCTAATTACACAGGGACTGAACGCTTACCTGCTCCCGCTAGTTACAGGGACTGAACGCTTACCTGCTCTGCTAGTTACAGTCTGAACGCTTACCTGCTCCGCTAATTACACAGGGACTGAACGCTTACCTGCTCCCGCTCGTTACAGGGACTGAACGCTTACCTGCTCTGCTAGTTACAGTCTGAACGCTTACCTGCTCCGCTAGTTCCAGAAACTGAACGCTTTTTACTTTCTCCGCTAATTACATAGAGACTGAACGCTTTTTACATGCTCCGCTAATTAGAGAGAGATTTAACGCTTTTTACCTGGTCCGCTAGTTGCACAAAGACTAAACACTTACCTGTTCCGCTAGTTACAGTCTGGACGCGTACCTGCTCCGCTAGATACACAGTGAATGAAGGTTTACCTGCACCGCTAATGAACGATTTTAACTGCTCCTTTATTTTACAGAGAGACTGAACACTTAACTGCTCCGCTAGTTAAACAGAGACCGAACGCTTTTCACCTGCTCTGCTAGTTACACTTAGTCTGAACACTTACCTGCTCCGCTAATTACACATGCAGTGACTGAACGCTTACCTGCTTACCAAGTCATACCTCCATAAAAGTTTATGAATTTCTACATTTTTTTATCTACTAAATTGTAAAAGTTTCATGCAAGACTATTCGTGGTGGTGGCATAACTGAAAGACAGATTCGACCACCACATCGACATGCCATCGAGGTTTCACTCAGTTCCAAAATATAATTTCTTATGAGCATTGTTTTATTAAATTAATCACAAATTAATGATGTTATTGACATGTCAAATGTTTATGTCACTTGGGGCCTATCATTGGAATAAAATATTCATCTTCTACTGAACATGTATCATCAGATCAAGTAAAGATCTACTTGGCAGGGTTAAACCTACTACGTCAAAAAGAGGCATAACTTATTCTAGTTCCACATGCATGCATTAGCATACAACTCTTTTTGTGGAAGACTATGATTTGCTCTGTAGAATTAAGATGCCTTTTTTTTTTAACTTTGTACTTGTGTTGCTGTCTCATTGACGTGTACCCCCCAGTTCCTTTTATTTATATTTTCAAAGTCAAAGTCAAAGGTTGCTATAATCTTCATCATTACATGAAAAACGTAAGGTGTGTGCTTGGAAAGACGAGACCGATAGGAACAGACCGAAGCTTTCAAACATCATGTGTTGGGGTGCAAAAGCTTTGATGTGTTAACAACAGTTCATGTATGTATGTAACAATTTATTTAGAATATGATCAGTTTTACGGTATTTCTTTTAAAACAATGGAACATATAAATGTTTTCATTACAGAAAATAAATATTGTTTACTGGAAATATATACATACATGATACAAATATAACATTTAGCCTATTTCTTTCACAACTGAGCAAAATGCTGAACTTGCATATTTAAGGGGTAATAATACTAACGTAGGTATCTCTTTGAAAGAGACTTTGAACAACACAAGCACAATATGCAAAAAAATACAAAACACAATTTAACAAGTTTTACCTGAAATTTAAAACTGAACACGTGTATAGTAATTATCCGATATTTTTATCAGATTCAATATTTATTAATCAGATTTAATCAAACAGAATCAAAATATTTTTGCAAGATATAATCAGACAGATTCTATATATTTTTGTCAGATTTAATTATACAGAATGAGTAAAAAAATAATGTTGTTATTACATGTAGTTGCATTAAGATGATAAGTAAATTGTTGATTTCGATCTCCTTGTTTTCCCCAGTTTCACTTATTTATATTAATACATCCAGTTCCTTTATAATAAAGTACATTTCACTGATGATAAGGCCCCTCAATAGTAATCACAAACTCGCAACTTTTGCTGTAATAATACCAAACAATGTGATAAACATATATGTAAAGTATTTAAATACTCCCTTAAGCAACCAACTTGTGGTATATCTTGGTAAAACAAGCATACAGTGAAGCTTTATAATGGAATCCCTGTTACTACAATATTTTTGGAAAATAATCAAATATTAATAATCTTGAAGCAATAAGCCTTAAAATTTGGTACTCAAAACTCGACGAAGGGCCTCACTGATTAATAAACAAGAAATTCTTATTGAACATAATAAGTTGTCCCAGCTATACATACATCATTGTCAAAGTTTAAAGGCAATATAAAAAGCATGTTGTAAGGTTTGTAATAAATAAATAAAGTATACAAGAACCATGTCCATATCTATTATTTAATAAATAAATGTAATAAAATGGTCTCCTTTTAAAAAAAATTAATAAGAGTAATGGAGAATCTGCATGTACGCAACTAACGTTACCAAGTATTTTACTGTATAATGTATAGAAAACGTTACCAAGTATATGTTACTGTATAATGTATAGAAAAATAATCAGTTTAAACATCTTAAAAATATATTTTCCGCTTTTTTTATCAAATAAAATACAATGTTCATGTAAAGACAAAGTTCAATGTTCATTTCATAAAATCTTAATGTTTTTTAAGGTGGCACCTTGATTGCACTTAAAGGGGAGACAACAAGAAAAGCTGTAAAATGGACGACACTGCAGTACAATAATGCGGAGAAGAAAATTGGGCTATTTTTAAACATGAGTTAATATGATATGACGATCCAAATAAAAATATAAGAAATTATTATGTTGATAAGTTTTAAACCCATGTTATTGTTGTTTTTATAGATTGGACGCAGGGGACATCACAAACTCTCTCTGCCATGTTCCTCGGGGGAGAATAAGTTACTTTACCTAACTGTGGCTTCTCTATCTTCTTTAAGAATTTATAACTATTATTATATGTATATATAATCGGGACTATAAAAATTTAATATGTTTTCATTTTCATGTTTTTTTTTCATATTAGAATGTAACAATCAAACAGTTACCTCCTATCTCATTGGAAATATTTGAAATTTGGAGTCTGTGCAACCTTTATAGAGGGTGGTAAAGGGTTATTTTCGTGCAACGTGATCGCCGTTTTTTATTTCACGTTCAACGTGTTTTTACTTTTTTATTTAACGTTCAGTCGTGCAAGACAGGTGCCTCGTTCAACGTGTTCTGCTTATTTAACTTTACGTGCATCGTGATTTTCAAATGCTTATTCTGCGTGCTCGGTATTTTTCAAATAAAATTCAAATACTTGGCAGGGATCGTCAAGAAATACTTATTTCAAAGCCGTAAACCATTTACATCATAAATGTGTATACTAAATCGGGAATAACAAGTAAAACAGAGAGTTTATATATACAAGAAGACAGTGACTCAGTCACAAAAGGTTCACAACAGTCTTTATTTTTCGTGCAACGTTCATGACAGAAATTATGTCTTATTTCACGTTTTTTCCGTGCAAGCACCCCCCTTTACCACCCTCTTTATAAATATGTGTGTCAATGCAGGAAATATGATAAAAAAAAGTTAACATGTCGTGCCAAATATTTCAAGAAGACAAATGAAATAAAACATACAATAATGTGGAAAAATTGCACCTCTTACAAAACTTATATTGGCACTAATATGTATACTCAACAAGGAGGTAAACAGTTGATTCTAAGTATCATTTCTATTATAAATAAAATCTTCGTGTAACGTCTCCATCACACCATTTTCACTACATAAATATTGATCCCGAACCCACTCTATTTCCGGATCCGATTCTGGTATGATAATACATACATAATGTTTTTTCTTCTTTGTATCAAAAGGATAAAATGTTATCGGAGAAAAACGTTTACCGTCTGCAACAAAATCAATCAGTTTTCTATAAATTTTCGGATAACAATGACGCAAAATGACCCCTCTCTCACGCAATATTCTTTGAATGTTTATAAAGCATATCTCACGGGCATGTCTATCATCCATTTGACTTGAAGATGAGTATCTATTGACTGTCGTTACAAAATGTAAGATCAAAACAGACTGTAAATCCATTTCCGGCTTGGGATGCATAATAATTGGACAAAGTCTCAATTTGGCACATCTTTGAACGGAGGAATAATTTCCACTTTTATTAAACGAACTTTGTGTCGGATTGGAAACTGAAACGAGTATGACATACTTTAGATTAGGATTATAGTTTTTCACGGCTGTATTTAATTCTGCGAAAGCCTGACTAACATGTACGTCGTCTCTAAAACATTGTTGAGTTATATAAGTAGGTTGCTCTTGTAAGTATGAATGTCCAAAGTTACAAAAACTTTCACCTGACCAACTTTCACGGAACGTCAATTTTACACAACCTTTTCCTTTTTCCGAGAATCCTATTCGCGCTATTTGAGAGAGGTGAAACTGCATATCTGGATTTTTGTTACAAAATTTAATAACTCGCTTACACAAATCCGATATCCTTCCGTATATGCATGAACACTTGTGAATATACCAATCCTCTCCTCGACAAAGACGGCTACAGTAGTATGTTGAACAAAAATGACAAGTTATGTAATAGTCCTTAGCATCTTGTAGATAAGTCACTTCCCGGCAGTTTTCACAAAATACAGTTTGTCGGACAATGTTGAAATGATCATTATTCTTAACCAATGGTTTGATTTCATTATGAGAGTTAGAACTAAATGTATTATGTTTGTTGTATATTTCTGAATCATGGTCAAGTTCTCGTGAATACGGGACACTATTCCGTCTAGATAATATATCGTCCGAGGATCTACACCTCTTCTCTATGGCTAATAATCCATCTATAACATCCTCCAAGGATTTACATTTCTTATGTAAACTTTCGTTGTCTCTTTCATTGTGTATTCCAGTGTATGTTTTATGACAATGTATATTGGGCGTGTCCACTGTAAGCAGGTTTTCTACCATATCGGAATGTTGAGAACTACCGGTGAAAATGGGACATTCTTTCACTATTTTACTTACAACATCATCAAAACTCCTGTTATACTGTGGTTTCTGAAAAAAAATAACAAATGTATAACAATTTCGGTGAAAACTTATAAATCTTCCTTTAAAACTGTTCATCAACTGCATGGTTCAGTTGGATGTAATATACATATGTACCTTAATAACAAGGTATATTGGTATTTTTTCAGAGAGTAGTGCCTGTTTATTACTTGTCAGTGGCGGATTCTGGGCGGGGGAGCGTAGAGGGCGTACGCCCCTCCCCCTTTTGATTGGAAATTATATAATTTTTAGCAAAAAATCGTCCAAATTTTTTTTCGCTTCGTTACGATCGGCTTATTACTTCATTTTTATGGAATTACGCCCCCTTTCAAAATCCTGGATCCGCCCCTGCTAGTATCCTGTAAAGCTGTCTAAACTAAAGTTAACAATGATTATAATCGTCAAACGGGTATGTCAGATGCTTAACTCCCAGTGGCAAATATTTATGATAAATTATTTGGATAAGCAAAAAGTAAACCAAAAAATCAACCACAAATGTTCTACAAAGTTGGTTGACCGGAATGAAGAGTGCATGGAAAATGAATAGACTGCCACTTGGAAAAGTTTGAACACGGAATCCTTGAAGTTATTTAAAGGTTGTGTTTTTAGTAGGGATCATGAACACTCCAAATACACAAGGCATTGGGATAAACGTCCTATTCTTAACCCGACGTGAGTCTGTATATAGTATATATAGCGCATAGCCAAACGAACGACTCTCGTCATCATTTCGGTTGTTTTTAAAATGATAGTGGTTATTTTGACATCTTTGATGAGTTTATTTACAAGGTCATTTGGTTGTGGGAATATAGTCTAATAAACGAAATCAGAAAATCAATAGGACCAACAAACTGTTGCCATAATTAATAATTCTTTGAGACAATGACTTTGTCATCCATGCACTTTATCGTCCTGAACATGCATGAAATATTTGCCACTGCACGTAAAGCAACTAATAATCAATCAATCCATGCTGTTTAACATTCATAATAAACTTTTAACTTTAAACATATTGAGGAACATTTAACTAAAATTTGATATTTTGCAATAATGTGGGGACATTTTTCAGACATATGTGATATTTCAGATATATGTGATGTTTCAGACATGTGATGTTTCAGATATAAAACTAGCATGCAATGACTGTTAAAGGGTAGGTTTGGCGATCCCTTTTTAATCGGAGTACATGTCAATGTGTTTGTATGATTGATTTCAGAATTTCTTCGTACAGTTTAAAATGGCACATTAGCCGTCTAAGTACAAACATATTAAACATATTTATCCCGTTCAAAGTAGTTCAGCTATAGTTATTTCTGTAACTTAAGAACATTTATCTTTAATTCTTTATAGATATTCAGTATTTGTATAATGGCCCATTGTTGAAGATCGTATATAATTTATTGTACAAATGTAACTTTTTACCCCCGAACTCTTTAACACGGAATTCTTGTGACGCCTCAAACTGAAAACTTTAACCGACACCATTCAACTGGAAAATCATCAGTATCTATGACTTTTTAATCTATTAAAAAAAAAAACATTTTCGAATGGCCTCCGTGTTTACAAGTATCAATTTTGCTCTCTTTTATAGGAAAAATGTTATCTAGATCCCCCCTTAAAGTAATATTAACATAATGCAGTAATTTACCCCGGATAGCACAGGTCACAGGACTTGGATCCATTTAAAACCTATTTGACTTTTTACTTAAAAGTTACAAATACATGGAATAGAATGAAAAAAGTTTAAAAGTTATCTAATTTGCGTCTGACACCCAGCACTGAGACGGGAGACCGAGTTTATGAAATCGCAAAAACGAAAGTTTTAACAAATGAAGTTTGACACGTTGTATACATTTACATGCATTGTCTTTGGAAGAAAACCTCTCACGTGCATTTTCTTTGGGGAAAAAAACTCTCACGTGCATTGTCTTTGGGGAAAAAACCTCTCACGTGCATTGTCTTTGTGGGAAAAAAACGGTTTAACCTCTCACGTGCATTGTCTTTGGGCAAAAACCTCTCACTCAACTTTAACCCTAGACATTACATGTATCTGCATGTTAACTGCCAGAAAGTCGATTTGTCAGTAAAATACGGAAAATGAGAAAAATATTTTCGCTTTGATCATAAAAAAGCTTCTGTCCAATGCATTTAAAATTCCACGGAGGTTTGAAAAATTAAGTTATTGATGACTAAAAACTTTAACCTTAGACTATAGTTTAATGTTAACTTCAAAACGAAGTCTATTTATCAGTAAAATACAGATAAATTAAAAAAATATAGTTTTTCGAATTTTGCTCTTCATATACGGTCGTTTGGTCATAAACATCTGTCCAAACTTCATGAAGGTTTGACATTTAGTTATTGATGTTTAAAAATAATATTTAACCACAGACTGAACCTAAATATTGTAAATATTGCTACAGATATGTAATCCAGTGTTAGTTTTACAAATATTATAAACATGCAGACATGTTATGATGGCAGTAGTCGTTGGATAATAATATTGGATTTTAAAGGTCTTACCGACTTTGCTTCCACCAGGTTCTACAGTTGAGGGTTTCTGAGGTCGTCGAAATGCTGATTTTAGGCTCTTCGATAGACTACTATACCTGCCAGATTTTGAATTATGCTCCGTTTGATTTTCTGCTGTATTTGATATTTGAGGGGTTACTTTTTGATCCTGTACTTTCGGTCTTACGACTTGGACTGGTTTGTCCCCTTCAAATGTCGTTTCTTTCGATTTACGTACCTCCGCTTGTCCGACAGTTCCATTGAAAGTTGTCTCTACGCGTCGTCCACTGCGAGGTGACGTCGACATCGGCTGAACACTTACTGGTACTGTCTGGCGTGGTTCGGGTTCGACACGTCCGACGTTTTTATTTTCTGTCGTCTTCTTCAGTATTGGTTTCGCGGGAATAATTGGTTTTGTAGCTAATATTTCAGGCGCTGCTGTTGATTTTATTTGCGAAGTAATAGAAGTAACAGAAGACGGCGATATCGGAGTTGTCGGAGACTCGATACTTTTTGCAGTAGTGGATGTTGGCGACGGGCTAGTTGCTAGCGCTGTAGGCAATCTTTTTCGTGAACTTTCTTCAAACATAAGACGCAGTTTTGAAAAAGGCACAATCGGTATTGGCATCAGATCCTTAGGCTTGTCTTTTTGCCTTAGTTTTTCACTTGGTAATTGAACACTTATCGGTGTTGGCGATTTTTCTGGAGTGGTTTGTAATTTCGGCGTTCGAAATAATTTAGCGCTTGAAGGCGTAACGCGAGTTCTGATAACGACAGAATTTGAACCAAAGCTTACTGACGGGCAGGGTGACGAGGTAATACTAGGTGGGTATGCATATGATGATGACGAAATCGAATCTTTGCGCGGTGAACTATACAAGCTCCATGTACTTCCGCTTCTTGAGACGCTTGATTTCTTATACCAGTCAGGGATATTAAGCTTTTGCAAAGATTTTGTAACTCGTAATTCGTGTACTGACGGAACGCGTCCAAGTGTTCCCGGTCGTGGGGTTTCATCGTTTTCATCGTCAATATTAGTCTCTAGAGTACATAAACTTTTTGATTTTGGAACATTACGATCACTAAAACGACTTTTAATTTCTTTCTTGGTCTTTGTCTTTGATAATGATCCTAACTCACTCATGCTTGCTGTTCTCTGCAACGGGAACTGAAATTCAAAATCATGTTCAAAATCAGTAAATATTTGATATTCAGTTGTTTCACCCGAATCAATATCAGTTTCAACGAGGGAAGTAACAGATCCATAACTCATTAGACTTGATTCTAAATTATCAATAGAGAGTGTCCGATCCAAAATTTCTTGATGCTTTTGGGGATTAAACATGCAATTTTCATGTAATGCACAAATATCAGGTTTTTCTACAGAACTCCTAGAAGAATTTAATGAGTTAAAGTCTAGTTTGTCGTAACTTTTATGGGTTCTTGATGACCTTGGCAGACTGTTTCCCCTTCTTACGTATCTCGGTTTCCGTTGTGCGACTTCCTCAAATGAAGTTTTATGTTGGTGAAATTGTTCTTGCGTTTTATCTGAAAACAGATTCTGTTCACTAAGAAATTTTTGTCTAGAAGCAATAATTAGCTGTCTTGACTTCGGCAATTTTAACGCTTTTTCCGGAAGCACAACCGCTACGCTTCGAGTATCTTCCGGAGACATTGGCTGCTGTAAAACAGACACATATGATTTGCTTCGTTGCTTTTGTTGTTGAATTTTAGCTTTGGTTCCTCCTTTGAAAAAAGACGGTTTGACAGCCGATGATCTGTCAATTTGTCCTTTAACGGAATGCAAAAGGTCAAAAATTTGAAATTTGTTGTTTTGTAGAGGACTTTTGTTACATTCTTCTGTGCTATTAGATTTACTCTGTTCTGAGTCTAAATCAATCCCTGAATCGTGTGCTCTGGATAAAATTTCTATGCAAGGCTCTAACGATTTTTCAAATTCCTCTTTTTCTTGCAATTTGTCATTTTCTAATTTATCATTTGCTAAAACATTAACTAAAACATTTTGATCTGGTGAAGCGTTCGTCTCTGAATACTGACTTACAGTTATGAACTCAGAACGTTCGATATTTTCTTGACCGGCCTCGTTAAACTTTTGTTCACTTTCCATTCTACTGTTTCCGTTTATATCTTTTGCTTCATTCTTTAATGACACGTTACTTGATATGAGACCCGAATTTATTGATGAATCGATTCCACAGGCTTCATTCAGTAAATGAGACTGTGAATTATTAATGTCTGAACTTGAATCAGAAGGTAAAGTTTCATTTGGTTGTGTATCCTCTTTAGAATCAATAAGTTTCTGTTCAGTTTTCTCCAAGCTGCAATTTTCCGTAAAATTACTCTCGTCTATGAAGAGTTCAATATTCTCTAAATCTGAAATTATAGGATCACTCTCAGTAAAGTCTTCGTGATTTCGTAATTTGCTTTCGTTGTAAGAGTTTTTATTTTCTACCTCAGGATCTACAACTCGCACATCTTTAATATTCGCCTCCGCCTCGTGTGAGGTAATGTTACTTGTAATCGGCCCAGGTTCCCTTTCTTTAACGTATACTCGCGTTCTGTATTCGGTACCAATTTCTTCTGTCCGTGAAAATATAAATCTGCCGTCATCTGATAATCCAGATTCACAAGGACTTTGAAGTGAAGGAGAAGCTAATCCGATAGAGTCCAGATTTTCAAATGTATCGAAATTACGCAAGTTACCGTTATCTGCTTTGTTGAATGTTGTGAAATCAGGCAAATTGTTTGTTTCACCAACAACAAGATAAAACGAATCGTCATCTGAATCACAATAGTCAAATTCTGCAAAATCATCTTCGTATGGATTGTATTCACGTGGTCCGACGTCATCATCGAATCTATCTTCGAATTTTTTATCTGGTGTTTGATCAAACTGACTGTTATCAGAAATGTGCAATTCTGTTTTTTGATTTGCAAATGTGGTTTGATAAATTAATTCTTCCACAACATGATTTGGTACTTGCTCTGATATTATAGCGTCTGTTTCATATTTTCGCTCATCGGCATGTGTCTCTTGATCGTTTTCAATGTTAGTTTCGCTCACAGCTTTTATGTCTTTTATAAAATCCTCGTAATTTAAATTTGTTGGTGTATTCGAACTTTCAATTTCCTTTTCCAATACGTCATTTTCTGGTGTTTTATTAAGATCATAATTATTTGTTGGGTTTTCATCACTTCCATGTATAAAAGCGATTATATCTTTTCCATTCAGATTGTCGGATATACTCGTATCGTTGTCGGAATAGATGAAAGACGTCGGCGTGTTTGATTCCTCGACCACCTGAATTTCAGGGGTGTCGCTCGAATAAGATTTGACGCTTACAACGGTAATAACAGAGCCACTACTACAAGACTCGTCAGATAAGTTTGCATATTCTTCATCAATAGCACGAGTTCGAATAATCGGCGATGGTGGCAAACTGTCAGTACTGTCGGAACTTTTATCCGAATCATAATCGTCGACATTTTCTTCGTCACACTGATCGAAACATTCATCTATGTAATTATCTAGTAAAGTTTGATGATCGTCTGTTAAATCAGCTTGACATAATATGTCACTTGTACAAGTTAAATTTTTATCACTTTGATGTTTGACAAGATCTTGTCTTGTTCCTTCGGGCTCATTGTCGGTAGGAACCTCAAATGTTATGTTTTCATTTTCAACAATATCATCCTTTTCATCGTCACTAAAATCGTCTGAATCCTCTTCCATGATAGGTTCTAACCCACCACTGGAATAAAACATATCCTCTTCTATATTAGGTGGCTCGTAAATACCTTCGATCATTTCATCTTCGTCGGAACTACTACTACTATCGGTTTGTCCGTCGTCGACTATACTTCGGTATTCTTGATTCATATACAATTTCTCAAGCATTTCGTGGGATGCGGGTATAGGACTTAACTGAATATCGGGATCCATATCGTCAGACGACGAGGAGTCTGAAGTTCTTTTTAATGTAAAATCTTTTACAGTTCGTCGAGTGTGAACTGTATCATACATATCCTCCTCCCAACTATAGTCTCCCCATGTAGGAGTTTCGTCTGCATCTTTCTTTAAATTTTTTTCACTGTCTAGAGTAGCATATTTTTGAGAACAGGTCAATCCGCTGTTTTCTACCGAGCTTATATTTTCATCAATGGGTAATTCAGCAGATTCTTGTTTTTCTTTATCGTCAGAATTGTGTGATCTTACCCCTTCTAATGCTCTGGGGAATCTTGTGCGGATATCTCCGTCTGTCAATTCCTGACCTTCTGCAAGAAGTCGCCAGGAGAATACGATAGTTATTATAGCTGCGAGGGCTGAAGTAACAAATCTTTCAAATGCCCCGTCCGGAAGCGATCCAGAGCCTTCCATAGATGATAACGACTACCTGAATTTAGCGGTATGTCGAACAGGTGTATTGTTTACTATACCTTTCATAAATGAAAATCCATAACAATTATTCCTTAATTTTTCACATTCATAAATAATCCATATTGTGAGCATAATTCATAAATCTGAAGGTTATTTTTGATGTGTCGCCATTTTTACTTTTTACAGGTAAACAAAAACACACAGGTAAATCCCACACAACTGTATAGACGACAAATTTAGCTCACGGTGAAATTCCTAAATCAATAAATGACCAATCATAAAGGTGTACTGCAGTCATGTGGCGTAATCTTCTACGGATCATTGGGCGTGTCGCATGTCGAATATTTTTGGACTTTAAATCTCCCGTGTAATTAACATATAAACATTCTGTATAGAAATATTGACGTTTTGTATACAATTACAGTAATTTGTTTACAGAAGTCAATTTGTCACCTCACTGACCTATCCGTAATTTCATTTAATGTCTTTTGTCACTATAATAACATTTACGGTATCCAATTAACAGCCCATTATTATTTATGGATACCGATATTCCAATCTATCTAATAAATATGATCATCTGTATATTTTCTCTTCATAAATAAATGGTCAGTATTTTTCAGCTCCAAATGTGAACTGCCACATGTTCATTTGACCACTGGGTATCGAAAATGAAGAGAACTCGCGGTTGGTAGGAGGAGAACTATTCATAATTGCAGTTGGAAGGAGGCGTTATCAGTAAATTGTCCGTACTAGGCGAACTTATAAAATTATGCACACTTGTTGATATCGAAATTCGAAATGTATCAGATGACAATTAAAATGTCCATTTTCTATCTGTATGTCTTTTCCAAGTAGTAATCCTAACGCCTCTCGTAAGGTTTATTCCGGCTACAAATGTAATCGAAATTTTTTTTTTTTTTTTTGTGAATAATAAATGTTTATATCCGTTATCAAACAGAATACGTTTATGCCAGTGTCGCCCTGTTACCCTATCGAAATGTTAATGTTTCGCATAACTTATATTTATGACTCATACGTTAATGAAAAAGTATATCATTACTTGTCACATCTATTATCGTTCCTTTGTTATCTATGTGCACCTCACATGCATAACACGTGCGAAGAATCGGATAGGAATAAAAAAATCATTCATACTGCCAGTATTCAAGTTTCGTATTTCGCTATGCCTTCTACTGATTCATCCTTCGGTTTTTCATCGATGAAGTAAGTAAAGGACAACTCTCTTTTAAAACATAATAATTCAATTATCCGAAGTCAATAGTATTCAGGTGTGTCATACATGTTTGTTTGATTCATTGCTTTATACTAAATGTCCGAGTCGTTTGCCATTTCGAATGTTTCACTGGCAAAAAATGTTCTCATTGAGTTATGTTTCTCTCTAATGGTACAATCAGCGATCGTCCATTACATGGTAAAATATGTTGCTTAATGAGCTTAATATAGATCTGTTACTTCCCTGTCAACTTACTCCTATACATTATATATTACTCAATGAAAAAAAATCTACATTTAAATCGATTTTACCAAGGAAACCCGATGCAATGCAACACCTGTTAATACATCGATTTATAGGTATATATACTTACTGTATAATCGGATAACAAAAGACAACGACAAATCATAGGATTTTACTATATAAGTCAATATGACACATCAGCTGGGATGGAGAAAAGAGCGAGACATTCTACATCCAATGTGTTCAAAATCAATACGTATACTTCAGGTATTGCGTGAAAAACTTTTGAGGTGAAAAAGAGAACTGAACTATTGACCCCTAGTACCAGTCTCGTGCGCTTCACTCACGAGACGATTTTTTGAAATAACACCTAAATGTTGAGGGGTTACATATATAGTTTGGCCTACACAATGGGGTGTTACTTTTTTTGTACTTATATTTACAGTTCCTTATCCTTATTTGTAGCATTGTAACTTTCTAGGACTAATTTATGCACACAATTTCTCGAAGTAAGGATGTTGTTGGTCAAGTTTACAAACAATGAATCAGATTTTATACCGTTCTCTTAATATTTCAACAACTTTGGAGGTAAATTCACAAGGAATGTATAAGCATGGAACGCTTCATAAGAAGTAGACAAATTGAGACAACAAAAGTATACCGATATTCAAATCTCATAAATCGATGAATATTCTAATCAAGGAAGGAAACAAAAACTGAGGGAATCGCAGGAACTCCAAAAGGAGCGAGACCAGGCGAGCGTCTTTTGCTATGCATAATTCACCCACCGCCAAAGTCGGACTGTAACAATTGCATATCGATAGTACATTGCAGACACAGTATGAGAAGGTGTTACGCGCATGTCCTCATCAACTCAACACTTCTATGATCTTCTACAACGTCCGCCGTGATAATGGTTTTAACATCGTTAATATCTAAGGAGATCCCAGGGGATGACGGGAATCTGATCGTTAACACGATTTACATTTATAGGTGATAAGAAACGATGATGGTAGCAAGAAAGGATTTATAGACTGATAACATTCACTAATTAAATGAAAACAAATTCCTGATAACAGAAAACGGGTAGAATTACCAGCAAAATATGTTCTGATCAAACTATATAAAATGAAATATTTTATCTAGATGATTTCACGGTGGGATCTACGAAAAAAATCACTTTAAAGTTTTCCATCTAGATTCGTTATTTTTTTTTTATCCTGCAATCAGAAAACTATTGTACAAATGATAGGTACACAAATAAAATTTTGTTATATTAAAATGTCTACTGTTACTCCGCTTCTATATTGAGAAAACTGTAATGACATTTCTTTTTTTGTGACAGTTCATTTTAGAGTCCTCTACGCGTTCCGCGTTTAAACTATGTTATTTTCTATGAAAAATCAGAGGCAACTATTTGGATTTAAACAACTTAACCTTATAGTGCCGGGCGTAATTTGCAGAATAAAAACAATATGTGTACATTGTTGGAAATACCAAATTTTTTGTACTCGCTACGAAACAAGAAAATTGGATATTTCCCGAAAATGTACATATATCTCATATGTATACTTGTTTTGTATATATCGCAGAAAAAAAAAGACTGTAACCAATGCAAGATTTAGCAGATGCAAGTAGATGTAATTTTAAAAGAAGATAGATTGCTGCTATTAGGAATGACAGTTTTCCCTGTGCAATCACATAGTTGTATTTATGTTTGCTGATTTATACGTTAAAAATCTATAAAATTAAATCAATAAAATTGCAAACTTGGATGCAATCTACAAATGATTAAGAAATCATGTATGTACATTACACAACTTAAAATGAAAATTAATTACACTTTAACAATCATAAAACTTCGCTTTATATGTGCACCAGTAAGGATGGATAGACTGGGACAATAACAATATCCCAATTTTTCTGGCAAACGTACGAACATAAAGGAATCTGAAACTAACGTTAATTTGACAAAACGACTTTTGTAAACGGAGATTTACATTTGCAAGGACAATTTTACCAATATAAGTCCGGCCAAAGGCTATATTATTTACATTTCAGATATGTGTAACATTCAAAATGTCATTTGAATTTGACACTAGATTAAATCTTTATAGCCTCACACAAAGTTGGATACACGGAAACAGATAAACTTTGTTTACTTGTGTATTGTTCATATGCACCAATAGATAATATAAGTAAACAGGTTTATTTACTTTTCAACAGATAAATGGATATCAGAAATATATTTAGCTTGAAAAGAAGATTAGATTATTCACTCGACGAGATCTTGTCTCATTTTGTACAATCATTTTATAATACGAACCTACTCAGTTAAGGCTAAATGTGTCATTGGAATGTACAGCCACGAACCAGAACTAAATCTTATTAATCACGGGTAGTAACCTCGTCATATCGAGAAGCGTTTAGTACAGTGATTTTGTCATAGTTTGGTTAAGATGAACATGGTTGTGTTAAGTTACTTCCCCGAATGATTGCCTCAGTTCTATTCAAACGAGCAAATAAAAAGCAAATAAGATGTTTTAATTTGCATTGTTAGTCAAACGATCTACATTGTAATTGGTATTTTCAAGAAAATAACGCAGAATAAGCAAACTATCGAAATTGCTATGGTTTGGTTAAGTTATGACATGGTTCGGTTAAGTGTCTAGAAATTCGTCATGGTTTTGATCAAGTTTGTCATGGTTTAGATCCAAATTAATATGTATGTGTTTCAGCTCAATATTGATAGTTTGTTTAAAAACGCTTGTAATTCAACCAAGTTACATAATTTACCAACTGACTAAGAAGAAAAAAGCATTTAAAACCAAAATTAGATGCTGTAATTGGCAAAGCGTACATTAAACAATTTTACTGTTTGTGACTTGTATTTGTATGCAAATCGTATTACTACGAGTGTCTTGTAAAAGAATTAGGAATAAATGAGCACTCATGTAATCCAACATACAAAAACATCATTTGACAAGAATGAGATTTTGGTGATTCATAAGTCCTTAATAGCTTCAATGAACATTACTTTGAGCAGGAAATCGGAGGACTTACCTTGTTTGTATTGGATACCTCAGCTTCACAAAATTCCATACAAACGGCCGTACATTGCCAGCTCATCTACATGTTTGACGAAAGAATTGTCCATTAGATTGACAAAGATTCTTTCCGCAATGAAAGAGGGTTTTCAGAAATACCGTGAAACTGTTTACTCGCGTAGTGGTATTAACCATCTATGGATTTAAAAAAAAACTCTTAAAGAACTTCTGAATAAATGTAAATCTCGATATTTCTCTGAAATTAGTTCTATCAAAACGTTTAAATTTTCAACCCTGTGTACCACCATTCCCTATGTGTAATTGAAAAATCGTCTAAAAGAAATAATTTAAATCTACAATGCTTTTCAACATAAAAATGGTAGCGCACGCTATACATTTATTACTTTTGGATACCATACGGCATATTTTGTTAATAGTGAACAACAAAATAAAACATGCTACACAGAGGAACAAGTGAGCAGTATGCTGGAGTTTCTTATTGACAAAATATTTGTTGAATTTGGAGGTAGACTTTGTCACCAAATTGTAGGTATTTCTATGGGAGCGAACTGTGCGGCAGCGACCTCTTCTTATCTTCATATTAGTCGGAGTTCCTTCAGACATTTGTAAAAAAACAAGAAGATCAAAGAAGCGAGATTATTTAATTTCACATTCATATATATTGTTCTTTCCATTAACAATCCAGACTTTTCTGATTGAATTCCATTAATATATCCCCAAGAACTAGAAATTAAAGGAACAACAGACACGGCTTCCTCTGCCTCATTTTTAGACTTATACCTCGAATTTGACATGATCGGTCATCTTAGTACCAGAATCTATGACAAACGAGACGATTTTAATTTTAATATTATCAGTTTCTCCAATCTTAGTAGCAATATACCAACTTCTCCTGCATATGGGATATACATTTCCCAACTCATTCGATATTCAAGAGCTTGCAGATTATACTCAGACTTTGTAAACCGTCACCAGTGTCTGAGCATAAAGTTGATGAACCAGTGGTATGTCAAAGAACGTCTCGTTCTTTTTCCAAAAAAGTTCATCGGAAGACCTTGTGGTTAAATATTCCTTTTCAACTTCACAAATAATAAACGATGGTCTTTAAGTAAGCATTCTAAGTACTGACGTTGTTTGTCACCTTAATGACGTGTTATGGTACTCTTTTATTTGTCTTTGTAAATTATTACTTTAACTGTTTAGTCTATTTTTGGCCCAATCCATTTGACGTGGCTCGGTAATTATACATCCCGTCATTGTGTTATTGTGCTATGGTAAATTTTTGTATTCTTGTCTTTCGTTTTTGCTTATGTGCTTTGTCTATATGCCTTTTTGTTTTTCTTTGTTGAAATATTTGTTTTGTTTTTATAGTGACTAAGATTATAACACAATGTTGCCTGCTGTACCCTTATTTTTTGACATTTTTACCTATCAGGTCTGTTTGTTTTGTTCACACATCGTCCTCAATATAATGGAATTGTATGCGACTGTCATACATGTGAGAGGTTAAGCTGGCTATAAAACCAGGTTTAATCCACCATTTTCTACAGAAAAAAATGTATGTACCAAGTCAGGAATATGACAGTTGTTATCTTTTCGTTTGATGTGTTTCAGTTTTTGGTTTTGCCATTTGATTAGGGACTTTCCGTTTAGAATTTTCTTCAAAGTCCCGTATTTTTGTTATTTTGCTTTTATAGTTCAAATAGTCACTGCTCTTTTAAAATAACTTTTGAGATAATAATTACAAAAACAGAAAGCGCTGCTTCTGTTTCACATAGATTATTTTCTCCGTATGTCCAAGATTGACTCTGTCGATGATATCGTGAGCGGCATCACTTGTAAAATTTGTAAAAACTATTAGTAAAATTAAAAAAAAAAAAAAAATACACACAAGTTCAGAATTTAAATATATGAAAAATCACAATTCAGAATTAGAATGAAGCCGATTTAA